AACATTGTTAAAAACATCCAAATTTAAAATCTCTAAACTTCTGGAATCACAACATGAATTGTGGTTAATTATTTTTCATACATTTACACTCCCAGTATGTTAATACTGTACATAGTTATTAAAAGCTTAGTCTATTGGCTGAGATATTTCTGTTGTCGTTTAGAGCGCTGCAGGGATGATGTATATTTGTAGGCCAAAACTTAGCATTAAAACACTTCTGGTTCTGTCGTGCTGAAGTCAATGGGATTTTTGGTTAAATGCCTGAAATAAGGTCTGTGGTCAATACAAGCTCAAGATAGTCTCACGGTTTATTCTACAACATAAAATACATCGGTAATACCCCTTTGTAGGGTTGTCACGGAACCAGTAAAATTTGTTCTCTGTACCAATTTCGGTACTAAAGCAAAAACTGAGCTATTTTACTATTTTAATTAACTATTCATTTACTTGTATTGAAAAAAGTGGATGGGACTTGTCAGGGACATTATTAAAAGCCATCAAAGATCATCATGATGAACAAAATGTGTAAGAATCAACAACTTTTGTTGGTCAGACAGCTTATTTTCTGCAAAAATTAAACGGAAAATTCCTTTGGGGATTTTGTCGAGGGAACCAGGACGATGCTAACCTCCAGGTCGACCTACAAAAATACGTCATCGCTGCAGAAATCTACATGGGGGGCCTTTGAATATTGTGTTGGGCAATGGGGCGTCTTCAAGTTAGAGGTTAGAACCACTGTATTAAAGGGATAGTTCAAGGATATTTCAGTTGCATGTACGTGTTCACACCGGACACGTTAACGATGTCACGACGGTTCTGCCGCCAAAACTGGCAAATGCCATTTCACTCTTGACCCATTGCAATGCGCCAGGTTTAAAAAAGTGGAAGTGCAATTAGTTGCTACATCTGAAGACAAGATTTCAGTAAAAAAAAAAAAAAAAAAAAAGAGTCGTATGGTTCTTTGTGAAGTATAGCCTAAGTCACTGGTCACTCACTATATGCTTGTGTGTTTGGAACATGAGGACGACTAAATAATTAATCCAGTCCCTTTAAACAGCACTTTCAGACTAAACTTATACATCTTTTCTGAATAAAATCAGCTAATAAATGTAAAATGTTCACAAATGGAGATGTCAGTTCTGGCTTTGCTCAGTTTTAACAGAGTCTCTGGATTTACAGGCAGCATTAGTTAACACTAAAGACACACTGGAGACATCACTCAGACCCCAGGAGCCCATCTGTGCAGCGGCTCTTATTGTTCTTATAACAGCCAATGAAGATGCTTCATGTCATCAGCATTGTCCAGATACAAAACTGAACAGTTAAAAGTAGAAAGAGTAGGTCACACATTATGTATTCATCGTCATATTGTTCCAAACCAGTTGTTCATCTATTTAGTAGGACACCATCAAAGTTTGACTTGTGCACTAATTCTAAATCTTCCTGATTTTGACTTAAATTTAAGTCTGGATTTAATGGCTCTACCTGTTCGTTTACAACAGCACATCATTGACTTCAATGCTGGAACTGCACTGGGAATGCTCCATTTTTGAATATGAACTTGAACGAGACCAATGACCGCTGACCCAAACCTGCCAAGTGTGAACACACCTTTAAACTTCAGTCTGTTCATCATTTTTTCGAGCTTTCCTGTCTCTGCTACAAAAGATTATTTACAAAATTTACATTTTGTGTTTTGCTGAATAACAACATACAGGTTTGGACTTAAATGAGGGCAAGTAAACAATGACAGGATTTTTTTTTTTTTTTTTTTTTTGGATGAACTTTTTCTTTATTTTAATATTAGAAGCAAGTCAGCACATTAGCTAATATTGTACTGTTCTCAGTAAAAGACACAGGCATGTTTGATGCCTCGATATGAGAAACTGTATATGGAAATACATTGCAATTCAATTTACGAATAATTCAAAATATGCATTTTTAGGGCTACAACAACTAAGAAAATCATCAACAACAACAACAAAAAATTCAACATTGGGCACGATGTGAAATAATCTTGGGAAGAATTATTTCAATTTTGTTTTATTTTATTACAATTATCCGATTAATTGAAGAAATAAATCGACAGATTATAATTGAGACATGCTTTTGATACTATATTTAAACCAAACATTATTCCCCGTTATTATTAAATGTATTTTAAGTCATATTAAAGGCTCAGGTCTGTTTGTAAGTTTCCACAAGTAGCACTCAATTAACCACCCAAAAATATCGGATTATTCGATTAATCGTCAAAAAAACGACCAATTCTCAAAATAATCGTTAGTGACTGACAGCCCAATGTTAAAATTAACATTTATTTAGATGAATAAGTCCTGTAGAAGTCTTACTCATTCTTTACTTCATGTTAACTTGATTAAGTTGGCTAATGAAACCTTAATAGTGTTACCACAGACACAACTATCTCGGTCACTGGCAGGTGACAACCGAAACTCAAAGGAGCTGGGACGTCCCAGAGGAGTGAGAGGAGCGCCAACTGCCCTAAGAGTCACTCAGATTGTTTTATAGACATTAATATACGCGGTTGTCATTCTGCTCGCGCTCTGCGCCGCACGCGTCGAGAATTCATAACTTCCTGGATAATCTTTCAGCTCGCGCGCTTGGCGAAGAACTTTAAATTGACACGTGCTCGCCAATGAACTCTCACAAAACAGCCCAGCTCAGTCCAAAAATATGACAAAGCGGAGAAAAGCGCTCGGTGCAACTCAGCATGTTTTCCAAATTGCTCGTCGCAGTGGTTTCAGAGAACCCAGTTTGGCTCAGTGATTGAAAAAAATGATAAACCCTCATTTAAAACCTGTTCTCAGAATGAGATGATTTCCTCAGAAACGGGGTTGCCTAATACACTAACAAACAAACAGCGACTTAAGCACTATTGCATATTATTAACTTACCGTTGTTTATCTAGAAACACTATCTCTTGCAATAGCTTTTACCGGGCCTCTCCGGCAACACAGACCGCATCTGCGGCTCGGCATGATGTGCAGCCCGGCTGCGCCTCCCAAAAGCACCCGTGCAACTTTCTTCAGCTCTGCTGATTCCTGATTTCTCAACTATTAAATTAGTCTTTAATGCAACACGTTTGCTTCATGCACTCACTAAAATATTTCATAAAAACATGTTTATAGACATAACTAACCGCTTAACCTAACAAAACAAATGTGTCCGCAGGGTTTTAGTAGCTCACGTGCTAACGACTGCTTTCACAGGAAGCGCGATTGCACTTTCATTTTGCGCCATACACAATAAAACACACTTGTCGCGTAAACGGGCATGCAACCATGAGAAACAAACAATTCGACGACAAACAAACAAATCTTTTCCCCCTCACAACTCGGCCACTAATTAGCATTTTGGCTAAGAGCGCTAATAAAGATGATAGAGGCTCACTTTAGCATGCTAATGCTAACGAATTTGGCGCACCCTTTTTAACGCACATTCAGAACACTTGTTAACGCACGGATGGTGTGTTTTCCCCGTGTAAAATAAACGCAACTAGCTGAGCAGGTGATTAAATGACTTTTGGAAATGAAAGGCCTAAATGCTGAAGCTAACAGGCTAGCGTGTAACAGTGGCAGCGTGCAGATACACAACTGATAAGCCGCAACAACTTTGCCCATCAAAATCCGCTCGAACTGCTACAATTGGAGCGGCTTCTGCACCGGACTCTGCTTTAACTTCGAGATAAACTCAGGGAATTGAACTTGAGTGACGGATAATTCAATGTAAAAGGGTTTATGAAGCTACAGAATTACACTTACCTCACTTCCGCAAATCGTTTGCTGCACATTCGGCAGCCGCCATGTTTTTTTTCTCTCTCGGTGCTGCTGTGAATGTGAATCCCACAATCCCGCTCTCACTGCGATACTGTACAGGACAGCAGCCGCGGCCCACACGCTTGCTGCTTTCATAATGACCGGCTCTCAAGAGCTCTGCTGTCAGCACCGACCTCACCGACACTTTCAGCCTGATGATGAACAGCATATTGTACTGAAGAATGCAATATTATATGCTATTGATATGTCTGCGAGAGGAAATAATGGCTAGTAATGCACCAATGCTATTTAGGGCTCAGATAACTACCCTAATTGTATGTCTTGACTGATGTCAAGGAATTGCTTGACCTGTAAGACAGTGCCATCAATGATATTAATTTTTCAAGCAATTTCTATAAAGGGGTTTTCAAACTGGGGTCCCCCGGGGTGTGCTAGGAGGTCCATGGAAAAGATTAGAGAAAATCATAAATAAAAACATATTTAAATCAATCTTCAAATTGATTCAAATGAGTAAACAAATTGCACAGCAATACGAATATAAAATGAAATAATGTAACTTAATAGAAACTTATAGAGCCCCATAAAGGGACATGGTGATGGAAAAACAAAAATGAGATAGGAGTGACAAATATTGCAATGCTTTAGCATCTCATATCCCTTTAGGGGCTTTAAAGTACCTAAATATTTTCCAAATAATATTTACATATATCATTTTTGAATCATATTTTGGGATCTGTGGCATCTGAAAGATTGAAAACACCTGTTCTACAACATTGTGTGAATCATGCAAAACCTGCCAAAACAAGTCCTACTTATATTTCTCCCCAAAACCAAAAGAAGAAAATATAAACAAACATTTTCACGACATTAAGCATGAAAATCGAATTATCCTTACTGTAATGAAAGAAACGGTGAGGTACTTTAACATTCAGTAAAAATGTACTGTTTTACTGTAATGGAATTCAGAAACCCACAAAAATAAAACGTCTGGACACATTATGAACTCTGCCGCAAATGTGCTTAACTTTCACGAAAATAATGTCACAAAGTCAAGAAAAATGTCCTAAACAGGCTTTATTTTCTTTATGCAGATGCACTCTTTCTTTAAGTTTGGGGTAAAATACAACCCCGGACGTGTTTTTGTGAAATGTATCCATTCACATAGCATATTATTTTCAGCTCATACGAATGATGACAGATATCGACAGCACAAGTTTTGGGGTTTAATAGTAGCCACTCAGATACAGCTTTCGTCTCTGCGGACAATTAATATCGAAAAACATCACATCCTTCTATACATTAAATAATGCCTTGAATGTACACATGTGCGGCAGCAGGATTTAATTGATCTGATTTTTTTTTTTTTCCTTTTACATAGCATTTTTAAACAAGACAGCCATTGATGTGTTCAAATGCGCACCTTATTGTTTGCATCTCCATGCAACAAATAAAAATGAAGAAATCGATTTTCTTGCCAGCATAATGTGCCACATCATTCCTATTAGCGCGCATTCTGCTTTGTCTGCTTTACCTTGTCAAATCATTTTCCAACAAAGAAAAAACGTCCATGAATGCCGGAATAATCATACCCTTCTGGAATAAATAACATTTAGTGCAGGAACGCGTGTTCTTTAAGTACTAGTACATTCAAATACATATGGAACATCAGAGCTGAAGCATGCACCTTTTGAATCTACAGTACAGTGCAAAACGAATATGTTCTTTCCTGAGACTACGTAGCTTTTAGTATCCCTTCATACCCAAAACATGAAGCTTTCATCCACTAAGACAACGTATTCTTTCATTTTCTTAAGCGAGGCAGTGCCTCAAAAATATGTACAGATGCAGTGGACTTTTTCGCTGTACGCAAATCATGGTCTATTTGGTTCAGGCGAAGCAAATTCTGTCATGAATGCAGTTGCACACAGATATCGAATGCATTAATGGACTGTGAAAATTGGTTTCTAGTGTCAAAAGGAAGTGGATATGCACGATATATACACATGTGAAGCACACAGGAGGATGATTAATCCACCCGTCTGCTATAAAGAACAGTCATAAAGGGTGTAAAGAGTGTGTATGTTGAGGTGAAGCTGTCAGGTCCTTTGCTAGAATGCTTGAAAAACTAAAGTGAAGTGCAAAATAAGAAGTTTGTCGGTCCCCTTGCGGCCCAGCAGCATCTCGGCGCAACTACACCGAGCGCGTCTCCACTTCGATCTTCTCCTCTGCTTGAGAACTCTCCGACTCCTGATGGCTGACACTGGGCCGCACGGTCACCACCGGCCCTCCTCCGTGGATGGAATGGAGGAAGTTCCAGGTCTCTTCTGATATCTGACCTGAATCGGCACCTGTTAAACCATAAAAATGCCAAAAGGTGTTTGTTACTTGGCACAAGTAAAGTAAGCACACTCTTGTAGGGCTGCACGATTAATCACATTTTAATCGTGATCACAATTCCGGCTTCTCTTGATTAATTAAAGGGACAGTTCACCCAAAAATGAAAATTGTACCAATTACTCACCCTCGTGTTTCAAAAACCCTTTCTTTCATTCATCTTCGAAACACGTGCGAGAGATTTCTGTCCCTCCATTGAAAGTCTATTCATAGTCAATTATGCCTTATAAGTGAACATACACAGTTGGGAGAATCCTAGCAATATGCATGCTGGTAAACAACTAGTTAACAGTGAGAATTGGACCCTAAACTAAAGTGTTACCATAATTCATACACTCAAGACTGTGCAGTGATTATTTTTTACATTTCATTATTCAATTTCTGTATTATTTCTTACATGCTATGTTAAATTGATGTTAAATGAAAAACAAAATGTAAAGCACTGTTAATTGAATTTGTTTCTTTCTTATATTGTATTTGTTATATATACAGGTGAAACTCGAACAATTAGAATATCGTGCAAAAGTTCATTTATTTCAGTAATTCAACTTAAAAGGTGAAACTAATAAATTATATAGAATCATTACATGCAAAGTGAGATATTTCAAGCCTTTATTTGTTATAATGTTGATGATTATGGCTAACATCTATGAAAACCTTTTCACAATATTCTAATTTTGAATTTGGGGTTTTCATAAGCTGTAAGCCATAATCATAAACATTATAACAAATAAAGGCTTGAAATATCTCACTTTGCATGTAATTATTCTATATAATATATTAGTTTCACCTTTTAAGTTGAATTACTGAAATAAATTAACTTTTGCATGATATTCTGAGTTTCACCTGTATATATATATATATATATATACAGTATCTAACAAAAGTGAGTACACCCTTCACATTTCAGCAACCATTTTAGTATATCTTCTCAAGGGACAATGCTATAGAAAGGAAACTTGGATATATTTTAGAGTGGTCAGTGTGCTGCTTGTATAGCGGTATATATTTACTGTCCTCTGAAAATAACTCAACACAGCCAAGGGCGTAGATTTGGTTTGAACATTGGGGGGGTTGAAGTTTGGGTATGCCTCCTGATATTGTGATCATGGTATAAATAATAGGGGGGTTGTAATGCATAGATTTAAATATTGGGGGGGTTATACCCCCCCCATCCCCCCCACAAATTACGCCCTTGAACACAGCCATTATTGTCAAAATAGCTGGCAACAAAAGTGAACATGTCAAAACTGTGTCCAAAGTGTCAATATTTTGTGTGAGCACCATTGTTATCTAGCATTGCCTTAATCCTCCTGGCCATGGAGTTCACCAGAGCTGCACAGGTTGTGGCTGGGACCCTCTTCCACTCCTCTATAATGACATCATGGAGCTGCCGTATGTTAGACACATGACGCTACTCCACCTTCCGCTTGAGGATCACCACAGGTTAGGGCTGGGTACCGAGTTCGGTACTTTTTAGGTACCGACCGAATTGCCTCGATACTACCGAGTATCGAAACATGTCTTGTTTTTCGGTACCACATTTCGGTACCTAAGTGGTTAATCTCGTCAATGTCAGTGAAACAATAAGCATGCAGCATGATTGGCTGTGGCGGAAAAACACTAGTTTACGCGGCTGCCCAGAGACGCGGCTCGTCGCACATGATGCTGCAGTGTGTGTGTGTGTGTAAGCGTGCGTCCCAACCCAGATAGATAGAAAATATGTGGAAATGATCCAAAGTGTACCTATGTCATGTGCCAGACTCGATGCCAGATGCACGCGATGCAATATTTTCGACAAGATCATTGCTGTCAAGACCGGCAACACGGTAAATCTAGGCACTGAAGCGCACAAAATACACTTGAGAGTAATGGTGTTCACATCGAACGCGAATAGAGCGTCAAATACGCGTCTATCGCGTCTAGTTCGACGCTTGAATCTTCAGCTCGAGTTCAAATTTTTCAACTTGCGCGGAAGACGTTTGCGGCAAACGCGTCGCCCAATTCGCGTCATTCGCGACGCCCGGCGCGAATGATGCGTCTATTCGCGTCTTTGCATTGACTATGTATGTAATCTACTCGCACAAATAATTAAATTCGCGTTCGGTGTGAACACACCATTAGTAAACACTTGTTCATTAATAAATAATTAAAATATCTCCTTGCTATTGTTTCCACATCCATAATCATTAGGCTACTTTTGCCAGGGCTTTGCTGCAAGCTTCACGTGCAGGTATATATCCCGCCCCCCAGTAGCCTATATTTAATTTAATTCACATTTATTTGTATAGCATTTTTCACAATACATATCGTTTCAAAGCAGCTTTACAGAAAATGCATGTCTAAATTACAATTTAGATTGATCTGTTATCAGAGGTGACAGTGTAATGCATTTCAATTAATTTTCATTCAGTTTCATCGTTAATTAATGCATTAAGTTAAAGCAGAAACAATGAGCTCATTGAAGTAAAGAATACATGTTGTTAAATGATTAGGAAACATAGAAAACTTTAGCATTGGTGCTTTTTTACATACTCAAAATATGAGTGTAAAAAAGTCAACAAACTGAAAAAAAAAATTAGGTAATGTTATATTGTTAAACCTGGTTACATAAAATTGGTATCGAAAAAAGTATCGTTCAGGAACCGGTATCGAAGTCAAGGTATCGGTATCGGTATCGGTACCGAACATTTTGTTACGATACCCAGCCCTACCACAGGTGCTCAATAGGGTTCAGTTTGGGGTCGTTATCATGCCGTTCGGCCCAGTTTATGAAGGGAGGGCATCATTCAGAGGCTTCCTTCTGGGACGACGGCCATGCAAAGCGACTTGTTGCAGTGTGCGGCGTGTGGTCTGAGCACTGACAAGCTGACCTTCCGCTTCTGCGACCTCTAAAGCAATGCTGGCACGATCATGCGTCTGTTTTTCGAAGCCAGCTTCTGCACCTGACGCACAGCACGAGGACTCAACTTTGATTGACCCTTGTGAGGCCTGTTACGAGTGGAAGCCGTCTTGGAAAACCTCTGTATGACCCTGGCCTGTACTGAAACTCAGTTTTTTATATGATCTTTGTGGAGAGCAACAATTCTAATTCTCAAAACCTTAGGCAGTGCTAGATAACAATGGTGCTCACACAAAATATTGACACTTTGGACACAGTTTTGACATGTTCACTTAGGGTGTACTCCCTTTTTAGTTGCCAGCTATTTCGACAATAATGGCTGTATGTTGAGTTATTTTCAGAGGACAGTAAATATATACCGCTATACAAGCAGCACACTGACCACTCTAAAATATATACAAGTTTCATTTCTATAGCATTGTCCCTTGAGAAGATATACTAAAATGGTTGCTGAAATGTGAAGGGTGTACTCACTTTCGTTAGATACTGTATGTTGTATATATATGTATATATATATATATATATATATATATATATATATATATATATATATATATATAAAATTTGCATCTTTGTTCTTATTTTTAATAACAAAGCTAAAATACCAAATAGAACTATATTGTGATTATTAATATAGTAACCAGGGCTTGACATTAACTTTTTGAGGCACTTGTCCTTTGGACAAGTAAATTTATGTTTCTCTTGTCCATGCACAAAAGTCACTTGTCCGGGTAAAGATTTATAATTTTATCTAGGGCTGCACGATTTGGGGAAAATGTCATATTGCGATTATTGAGTTCAATATTGCGGTTGTGATATGCGATTGCGATATAATAAACAAATGGTTTCATGAGTCAACTTGTTTGGTTCTAAACCAAATGCACACACAGATTAGTGATAATTCTGAAATTAGCAATAACAACTAAATGATTGATAACACCTATAATGATCAATAAGCCATTGATGTATGGATAAAAATTAACTGTCTAACAGGTAGGACACATACAGAAATTGAATAAAGTTATCAAACAGTCTGGGCTGCATAAATTATCAATTATATATAGACTACTACTTATTGAAGCTACACAAGTTCTTTAGTCAAGAGCAGTGAGTAATTTTCTCTGTTCCCTTTGTTCTTTCAGTAACTTTACTGACAGAACGCTTTATTGGTAGCTGGCCCTTTAAGAGCAGCCGCTGTGGACAGAGACGCGGATATCACACGCGCCTCATTCTCTCACGAGTCACAACTCTCAAGACTGTTCTTATGTTATGAAGATACTCGACAAATGACATTTTGGCTTAATTGTGTGTTGTTGATGTTCGTTCAAGCGCGAAAGAGAACTTCTGGCGCGCGGTCTGTGCATGCGCATTATACTGGCGCGCGTCTTTCTGTGAGTCACATTCAGGACATTAACAGGCAGCGCGAAAAAATGTGTTCGTTTCAAATCGGTAAAATTAAATCTGTAAAATAGACGTAACGAGTGGCACATAACGTGAAGTAACATGGCATTTTATTTTGTTTGAAATTTAACTTGTCCGGTCGGACAACAAATTTTCTCTTCTACTTGTCCAACAAAAAATCCACTTGTCCCGGACAAGCCTTAATGTCGAGCCCTGGTAACTATTATTAAAAGATTGAGGTCCATGGTGATGCATTTTATAATCGAATCGTTACACTCCGAATAGTAATCGAATCGAAGTGAGGATTCACACCTTTATTTCTGCCTAGTGTTTTTATAATCTTCCCAACCTGGCAACCATGTCTACGCACTCTCCACTGAAAAAAAGTGCTAATGATCTGAAAACACTGACAAATATTTTGGAGTTTAGTAGGGTCGAAATCGAAAATCGGACACTTAAAGTCAGGAATCGGATATTTGTTATGAAATAAAAATTACGATTCCGCTTATCGATTCCTGTGTTTAAACCATTCAAGTGCAAGAAGACGCAAAAGAGAACTCAATTCAGCACTTGCGCACTGTTTTCTGCACACAGAGAGCTCATATAGTGCACGAATACTGAATTGAGTTCGCTTTCGCGTCTTCTTGGGCTTGAACGGACAAATACGCACAAAATGAAGTCAACATTTCCTCGTAAACAGTCTGTTATGTCTTAAGTGAACGTAACCGCTTGAGAAAGAAAACACATGTGCGTCAGTATATTGGATTCGTCCATTAGGTCTTAAAGTGACAGCAGCCTAATAAACCTGTTGCCTTCTGTGTCATTAATGTCAATCAAAGTACAAAAGAAAACGAAAAACTGCTTATTTTACATTTGATTTTAATTTCTGAACTTTGTTTGTGCTATAGCTAATTTGCTTATTTGTTCTTCTTGTATTAAGGACTGTATACTTTTCTTTAAAAATATATATTAGTTAATCTAGTTTATTATTTAGATGTTTTGTAAAAAGACAGAATATGTTTGATATCTAAATGTTTGCTCAAATGAAAGTGTCTTACAGCCAGACTGTGTTTCTTCACAAGGCCATTTGCCTTTGTGGTGGCTAAATAAAAGGACTGCAGTGCAGTCTTTTTGTTGTTTTAACAGAAAAACGGTAACATGATTTGGAATGACTGGAATTAATAAAAGGAATTTCACGGTTTTAGCTTTTGAGAGAAGCTTCTTAAGGTTTATGATAAATATAATAAATCAAGAGCATGAAATCACGTTCTCTGAAATGTAAAAAGAAATGTGTAAAATGAGAACAATTGTGATTAATAAACAAAATTTTATCAAAATAATCCTAATTTATCAGTTTACCCATTATCGTTTTTTTCTTTCTTATGAGTCACAAAATAAATCCCGAAGAACGTTGAGGTCCACACAACATTGGACAGCGTTGTATGTTTTGCAGAAGAACGTCATACAGGTTTGGAATGACATGAGCGTGAGTAAATGACAGAATTGGTTATCCAGTTTTGCTTAGAAAATGATCATATTGAGGAAGTAAAATGGAACACGAACGCCATTTCATGATGACTTTAAAAGATTCAGATGGTAAAAATTACCTGGCTTTAATGTGATGTGTCCATTTTTATTTATAGCAATCTTGGAGTTATCAATTGGCCCCGGTGGATCTGAAAGACACAAGACCATCCATCATCGGAAGCACACCGAATATCCCAACCAAAAGCTAAAATGAAGTTCTTCAAGAACTCCTTATTGATCAATAACCACAAAACATGATGCTAATATTCAATTTCAAACTTTCAGATACTTTAGAAGTCTCGGCAGCAGGGATGAGAAATTACTTACCAATGTCCTTGCCTTTGACAAAGCCTTCCCATTCCCGGAACCACTGCATGCTGATACAGTATATCACCACAGGAGACTCCTCCTCCTGAAACGCCTTATTGAGCTACAAGGACAGAAGAGAGGAGGAAAGAGAAGAAAGCACATGAGACCATGAGATGTAGAAAGAAAGAATCCATTACCTGAGCGTTTCTTCATGGAATATCTTCCCACCCCAATGTTGTTTATACAATAACAGGATAAACTAAGACCGAAGCTCTGTTCCAAATCCTAGTAAGCTACCTTGCGGCCTATGGCTTACATAAGCCACTGCTTTCTATAGCGCCGCTCACACACAAAGCATGTTTGTATTCCACTCCACTGCTTTTCTATGTCCTTTCTATGTGAACATGCACTAGACCATGGGTTCTCAACTCTGGCCATCAAAGTCCACTTTCCTGCAGAGTTACGTTCTAACCTTGATCAAACTCATCTGCCTTTCTCTTTATAGTGATCCTGAAGACCTTGATTTTGTTCAGATGAATTTGAGAAGGGTTGGAGCTAAACTATTCAGAGTTGAGAACCCTTTGACCATTGTGCTCACGTCTCAAACAGATGGATCTAAGGGTGTGATGATTCAAATGTTTTCTCGATGCATTGTTTACAAATTCTGCCGATGTGTATGACAAATGAATCAATGATCAAAATTATCAGCCCTAATCGGCTTATCGTATCAGATGTAATTTTAATATTGGTGCATCCCTGCATAAAATTCCACATTATCGCTCCTTTGGCCTCCTTTGTTTGCCCTTAATTTGAGCCAAGCTGAGTGTCTCTGGCTGAAATCAAGTACTTTTGTGCTCATGCATAAATAATGACTACAATTTTGGAGAAGAAGGGTGGGGGTCGACTTGCTGATCTCAGTCTGAGAGGGTGGTGTGGAGGTCGTGATGGTGAGTGTGTGCACAGATAACAGTCCAGACGTTAGATTAGCTGAAAAGACCAGACACTCTTCACTCTGGATGTCCCTTAAAGGGATAGTTCACCCAAAAAAGAAAATTCTGTCATCATTTACTCACTCTCGAGTTGTTCCAAACCTGTATGAATTTCTTTGTTGTGCTGAACACAAAGGCAGATATTTTGTAGAATGTTTGTAACCAAACGGTTGTGGAGCAGTCAATGGTGCCCCACAACTGTTTGGTTACCCATATTCTTTCAAATATATTATTTTTTGTTCAGCACAAAAAAGAAATGTATACAGGTTTGTAACAACTTGAGGGTGAGAATATGATGACTAGAGTTCTCTAAAAGTACCAACTTCGGTACCAAGTCGTTACTGAAATTAAAAAATGTAATAATATCAGCATTTCCCTCTAGCACTTTGAGCGCTGTTGAAGTCTGATTGGCTAGTGTGTTGACGCGCTCAACATATATGTCTCTGATTGGCCAGTGTGTTGACGCGCTCAACATATGTCTGTGATTGGCCATTGTGTTCACGCGCTCAACATATATGTCTCTGATTGGCCATTGTGTTGACGAGCTCAATATATGTCTCTGATTGGCCATTGTGTTGACGAGCTCAATATATGTCTGTGATTGGCTACAATGATCAACAATGACATCTTTGACACTCTTCACCAAACGCTTACACAGATACACACGGGAGCATTTAAAAGCAGGCGTCTATCATCAGATCCCTAATATATCCGCTGAAAGACAACACTTTCAAGCGCTCCCGTGTGTATGTGTAAGCGCTCGATGAAGAGTTTTCAAAGTCAACATGTTTTTGAAGCGTCGATCATTGTAGCCAATCATTGAGCTTGTCAACACAATGGCCAATCAGAGACATACATGTAGAGCGCGTGAACACAATGGCCAATGAGAGACATATATGTAGAATGCGTGATCACAATGGCCAATCACAGACATATGTTGAGCGCGTGAACACAACGGCCAATTAGAGACATATGTTGAGCGCGTGAACACAATGACCAAACACAGACATATGTTGAGCGCGTGAACACAATGGCCGATCACAGACATATGTTGAGCGCGTGAACACAATGGCCGATCACAGACATATGTTGAGCGCGTGAACACAATGACCAAACACAGACATATGTTGAGCGCGTGAACACAATGGCCGATCACAGACATATGTTGAGCGCGTGAACACAATGGCCGATCACAGACATATGTTGAGCGCGTGAACACAATGACCAAACACAGACATATGTTGAGCGCGTGAACACAATGGCCAATCACAGACATATGTTGAGCGCGTGAACACAATGGCCAATCACAGACATATGTTGAGCGCGTGAACACAATGGCCAATCACAGACATATGTTGAGCGCGTGAACACAATGGCCAATCACAGACATATGTTGAGCGCGTGAACACAATGGCCGATCACAGACATATGTTGAGCGCGTGAACACAATGACCAAACACAGACATATGTTGAGCGCGTGAACACAATGGCCAATCACAGACATATGTTGAGCGCGTGAACACAATGGCCAATCACAGACATATGTTGAGCGCGTGAACACAATGGCCAATCACAGACATATGTTGAGCGCGTGAACACAATGGCCAATCACAGACATATGTTGAGCGCGTGAACACAATGGCCAATCACAGACATATGTTGAGCGTGTGAACACAATGGCCAATCACAGACATATGTTGAGCGCGTGAACACAATGGCCAATCACAGACATATGTTGAGCGCGTGAACACAATGGCCAATCACAGACATATGTTGAGCGCGTGAACACAATGGCCAATCACAGACATATGTTGAGCGCGTGAACACAATGGCCAATCAGAGGTGTTTAAGAATCCGTTCAACAGCGCTCAAAATGCAAGAGGGAAATGCTGGTATCAAATGTGTATCATCACATTTTTTTAAATTTCAGTGCCGACTTGGTACAGAAGTCGGTACTCTTGACAACTCTAATGATGACAGAGTTAAAAATTGTGGGTGTACTATCCCTTTAAATCTACTTTGACACTGAGGCTCCTACCCGAACAAACATGTCCAGCTCATTCTTGCGGCGTTTCTCCAGCTTCTCGATCTCGGTCTGGCAGGTGTGGCAGACATACAAGTGATTGACAGCGGGGCCGCCTCCGTACCTAAACAACAGCATGCCGACAATTAGCATTTAATAAGAACTTAAACTTCCGCATGAAGTCAGGAAAAGAACAGTGACAAACACTTACCTGCTATACAGATGATCCCATACACTTTGGGGAAGCATCATAACAAGATCATCAATGGATGTGGCTTTATTTGGCGGAATACCTGTTGGAGAAGAAGAAAAACATGATTTTTAACCACCAAATAATTTGTTTTTCTACTCATACGACCAAAAAAACTCTCCTCTAAAAGTCAACACGAAACTGCATTCATGAAGATTTATGAATAATTAATATCCTCTATTAGATATTTTCCTTTAAATTAATTTGAATCAGTTCAAACGAATCAGATCAAGGGGAGGAAAGGACCTTTGAAGTGCTTTCTAAAGAGATTCACATCTGAGCTCATACTGCACTCTCAAGTTTAGTAGAGTAAAAAGGAGAGGAACAGAGGAAAAACAAACATAATCAGTGAAAAGGATGTGGCGGCAGTTGACCTCGAAAATGTTGGCAAGATCTGCAATTATATCTGGTGGTGTGGAGTCATATCTGTGGTATATAAATACTTTACAATGGGAAAAGTAGGAAAGGCCCAGATCTTTAAGGGGTCAAGGCAGTGATTTTTTTTAATGACTTTAATATGCTCCTTGAGGTTCACTTATAATGTTAACAAAGTTTTTTTTTTTTTTTTTTTTTTTTTACAAAATATGTGTGTGTGCCATATGTTCTTACTTGTAAATCACAATCAGAGTATACAAATATTAGCCGCTAAGCGACTGAATGTCAGTGGGTGGTGCAATGATGTATAACTATTTGTCGATGTCTTGCTCTGGAGGCAGGCATATGCAAATGTATTTGCATGTGTGACTTCAAAGATCCCACAATATAAAAACGAGCCGTTTTAGGAACTTGATTAAATAAATGCTTGGCTTATAATGAGGACGTCTGAAGCTCTGAAACTTGCAGGATGTTTTTAATGGTACAAAGACCACTTATATGTCAAAAGATTGAGGCAAATTTTGATTTCTCATGTTATGACCCCTTTAACAAGAGTGGTCCTCACCTCCGTGGGCACACAGGAAGTCATGGTTGGAGATGGGTCCTGGCTCAGCGAAGGTTTTGAACTTGTTCAGCCACTGGCGGGAGATGTAGAACTGCAGGAGGCTTGGCTCCATCATGTTGAGCAGACTGGTCACCTTCCGCCTCTCTTTCTGAGACTCGTCATTACTCTTCCTGTTACACACACACAAAGGACATCAGCGCCATTTAGTGACTGCCAACACATGCTTTACCACAGCACAGAGATTTACAGTCAAACTCAAGGCCGTTTTTCCTGCATAACACAACCTTGAGCTTTTCTGCCTAAAAGATAGCTGAATCTTAAAATATTGTTTGTTCATTTAAAATACTCAATAAACTGATATTTAACAAAATACTAAGCAGAGTCAAATTTGTTCATAGTTTTAACACACTCCATTTAGTATGTAATAAAAAAAATACATTCTCAAAAAAAAAAAAAAAAAAAGATTATCAGCTACTTTGCCTGTATACACTCACTCACTCACTCACTCACTCACTCACTCACTCACTCACTCACTCACTCACTCACTCACTCACTCACTCACTCACTCACTCACTCACTCACTCACTCACTCACTCACTCACTCACTCACTCACTCACTCACTCACTCACTCACTCACTCACTCACTCACTCACTCACTCACTCACTCACTCTATGTAATATGTTCTTACTTGTAAAAGAGCACATATGCCTCTGCGTTTTGAACACAGGACTCAGACACCTCAGTAACACTCTGGTCATCAAACTCGTACCACTGCTGGTTCAGTTCATTTCGACAATAGGCAATATAGTGGCCACCTTGAACAAAACAAAAAGCACATTAAAAAACATCAGTCCTGTCAGCACAGGCGTAGCCTGGAGATTAGCTCACATGATCTGACACACTTAATTGTGGCGCTCATGTATGCAATGCTAGTTTGGTGACATTTCCTGATCCCATTGTCCCTGCTTTGTCTCACCGTTTCCTCTTTTTCTGGGTGAAAGCGTGTCTTCCGAGTGGCGCACAGCGATAAGATTCGTGTGATGTTAAGATTCTGGGTTTGATTCCTGCCTAGTACAACTTTATAAAAGTGTGTGTAATGTTGTGTGACTTCGATTCCTTTATCATCTGGTTAAGTATTGTACTAATCTTTCTTCCTACTAAATTTGAAATGTTTTTTTTTTTTTCAATCTGTGTTCATTCTAATCTGAATCTCTGTTCATTTTGAGTTCATTCACACCTGTACTTCTGAACCTATCTGTCCTTCATGTACTGCATATTCTATTTCTGCTCTTCTGGCTCTGCACTGCTTTTGCTGCCCATTATCACTGCTTACAGCTATATTTTTTCTCTATTATTGAATCAACACCATGGCTGGCCTGGAATACACTACACAACTCTTATAATCTGAACAGATTTAAAAACACTTAGGGACAGATTTACTAACAGCTTGCGCCAGAGCAAACCCTATTTTGGCATAAAAAAAAACTACTGTCAGGATTTACTAAAGTGACAAATTAGCGTTGTAAAGGCGCGGACAGGATTATTTTTTGCTGCTGACCTTATTCCATATGCATTTGTAGGAGTTTCCCTTTCAGATGCATTCAACTTATAGGAGGAGAGTATTTAAATGATTTGCGTTAGATTGCGTTTTCGTCATAATGGAAATGATCTGCTATGTCTGTTTTTTAATTTGCTCGTCGTCAGTAGATTACATGCAGAACTTCCACTCCCATCAGGGCTTTTTAGAATTGCACTCTCACGCTAATTTACCCTGTTAGTAAATCTGGCCTCTAGCATCATACACTTGCCGACTTTGTAAATGATTACAGAGAAAAACTGGGCATCCTACACTAAACGAGTAGTTCCGAACACAACAAACTCACATTTAAAGCAGCACTAAGTAGGAATTCCGTTTTTGTCAAACAGCGACCCCTAGAGTCGCTGTGGAGTACTTGTACTGTCGTGAATAGCACTCACGCAGAGATGGCTCGCACTCACGGCCGGATCCCCTCCCCCTGTACACCGGTACCTGTTCAGTAGGATGGACGCTGTAACGAGTGGAAATAAGGTATGGCCCCTTTAAGATCAGCGCGCGCCCTGTTTAACTGTCGGCAGTCTGTATTGTATGTGCGCCTCGAATACCACATGTATACGGCACCGGGTTATTTCTGTTTGATGGTCATTTTATCAGAATTTTATCAGATCTGTTTTTTTTGCCGTAAAGCAATTCGTTACCTCGCGAGACCTGATATCACACGATACTTCAACACTGGGCGGCCCGCCGGCCCAAAGTTGCAAGGGTGGTTTTGCGGCTCACAGGCACCAGGGGGGTGCGAGACGACCACCATTCAACACGAAATCAGTAATATAAACATTACAATGACTCCAAAGCTGTTCGGTTAAGGTAAAAAAGTTACTTAGTTCACCTTTAAACAGGTGCCTCATTGCTAGGAGATACATGACAAATGAAACCAAATGTGTCAAACATGTTTGAAATCCTCCAACTGGACAGATTCATAGTCTGAAGTAAAAAAAAATGGGAGTTTGTGCAAAAGTTTCTGTAAAATCTGTCAAATTTGCCCAAAATCTGAATACTGGCTCAGTCTTCTGGCAACTAGCGTTGACTCATCCAGACGGCAACTCAGAGCAAAAATCTAGGCACAAATAGTGTAGTGTATTCCAGGTTTAAATGACACCAGTGATCAAAAAGAGACTCTACTTTCACCACCTGACATCACTTAAACATCTCTTCTAGTAAAGTTGAGTGCTTGTTTCCACCACGGGGAAAACCTTTTTTTTATTCTGAATTTTTGCAATTACGAATATACACTCACCTAAAGGATTATTAGGAACACCTGTTCAATTTCTCATTAATGCAATTATCCAATCACCCAATCACATGGCAGTTGCTTCAATGCATTTAGGGGTGTGGTCCTGGTCAAGACAATCTCCTGAACTCCAAACTGAATGTCAGAATGGGAAAGAAAGGTGATTTAAGCAATTTTGAGCGTGGCATGGTTGTTGGTGCCAGACGGGCCGGTCTGAGTATTTCACAATCTGCTCAGTTACTGGGATTTTCACGCACAACCATTTCTAGGGTTTACAAAGAATGGTGTGAAAAGGGAAAAACATCCAGTATGCGGCAGTCCTGTGGGCGAAAATGCCTTGTTGATGCTAGAGGTCAGAGGAGAATGGGCCGACTGATTCAAGCTGATAGAAGAGCAACTTTGACCGAAATAACCACTCGTTACAACCGAGGTATGCAGCAAAGCATTTGTAAAGCCACAACACGTTAAACCTTGAGGCGGATGGGCTACAACAGCAGAAGACCCCACCAGGTACCACTCATCTCCACTACAAATAGGAAAAAGAGGCTACAATTTGCAAGAGCTCACCAAAATTGGATAGTTGAAGACTGGAAAAATGTTGCCTGGTCTGATGAGTCTCGATTTCTGTTGAGACATTCAGATGGTAGAGTCAGAATTTGGCGTAAACAGAATGAGAACATGGATCCATCATGCCTTGTTACCACTGTGCAGGTTGGTGGTGGTGGTGTAATGGTGTGGGTGATGTTTTCTTGGCACACTTTAGGCCCCTTAGTGCCAATTGTGCATCGTTTAAATGCCACGGCCTACCTGAGCTTTGTTTCTGACCATGTCCATCCCTTTATGGCCACCATGTACCCATCCTCTGATGGCTACTTCCAGCAGGATAATGCACCATGTCACAAAGCTCGAATCATTTCAAATTGGTTTCTTGAACATGACAATGAGTTCACTGTACTAAAATGGCCCCCACAGTCACCAGATCTCAACCCAATAGAGCATCTTTGGGATGTGGTGGAACGGGAGCTTCATGCCCTGGATGTGCATCCCACAAATCTCCATCAACTGCATAATGCTATTCTATCAATATGGGCCAACATTTCTAAAGAATGCTTTCAGCACCTTGTTGAATCAATGCCACGTAGAATTAAGGCAGTTCTGAAGGCGAAAGGGGGTCAAACACAGTATTAGTATGGTGTTCCTAATAATCCTTTAGGTGAGTGTAAATACCACAAGACATTTTCCTCAATATTCTAAACTCAATCTAAACTCATTATTGCAAGAAAAAAAAGTCAGAACTTGTGAATTGTGAGTTTACATCTAAAAATCTGTTTTATTTTCTAAGAATTGTCGCAATTACCTTTTTTAATAATTTTTTTTTTCTTCCATGGTGGAAACAAGCTTCCATAATTTATAAATAATAATAATAATAATATGAATATGAATACTACATTTATAACTGCTCTTAATGACAATAATACTTTTATGACCATCTCCCTCATTGAAAAGCTTGGACTTACTGCTGGCAGTGCCGTGGTGACAGATGACTGACAGCAGGTCGTAGGTGGTGGTCTGGTCAGAGCTGTCCTTGGCCAGGAAGGGCTGCATCTCGAGGCCTTCCAAAGGGAAGGACACGTGAGTGCCGATTTTGGTGGAGAACATAAGTTCATGTCTGAAGCGCTTGAGGTGAATGCACAAAATCTGTTGGGGAGACGGTAAAGAGAATTTGAACAAAGCAGGAAAGTCTGCTGTCAGTTTCCTACAATAAAACAAAAAGAGCTAGAATGTGCCATGCCTGTTCATATAAAAATATAACTACCTGGGCAATTTTTTACAGTAGTGTTGTAGTCGAGACCAGCTAAACTGAGACCGAGTCAAGACCAAGACCAGTGTGTGTTGAGATCAAGACAAGACCAAGACTTTGAGGGGGTTGAGACCAAGACAAAACCCAGACCAAGGCAGGGCGAGACTAGGTCAAGACCAAGACCGGACCAGCACTCCTCAAAATCTGAAAGATCCATATCTACTGCCTGAGAAATGTAGAAGCACTCTTGCTGATATTGCTTAATTAACATGTTATAATATAAAAAAAAACAAGCGCTCGTTCAGGTACTTTTTTGCAATCATATCTTGGATTTTTGTGGGCATTCGTATTAATTTTGGTGACATTTTTGACACAATCCCCCGTTAATTTCTGACCAGGCACAACAGTAAGAAATCAAATTACGGTAGAAATAAGTTATTAATTGCATTTGAAGCAGGACGTGTTACATCCAACCATGCAAATTATGTTAACAAATAAATCAGACAATGTAATGGCAATTTGTGATATCCTCGCAGTTGTGGTCTTGACCGGTCTTGAAATAACATCCCGTCTCGAGTACTACAACACTATTTTACAGCAAGACTGTTTAGTACTTTTTGAGAAGTTCAGGGTTTCCATCAGCAAACTGCTTTGGCCATTTAACAGATGCACTGAACAATCATCAGATCTAATGACTCCCATATGATGTCTGCGCTTGCCATTACAGATCCCTGAGCATATTTACCAGATGGCAGCAGATATTGTGGGTTAAAGGCATCCTTAGACTCTCTCCAAATATAAATCCACCGGATGTAGGAAACCAGACCTTATTACTCATTAAATTACTATTATTTCTCAAGGGTCCAGGTTTTGTGCTCATTTCAGGCAGCCTTGATACAAGGCCAAGACATAGTGGACCTAATTTGTGGTGCGTTTATCATTGTGGAGTTTTTATTTTTTCAAACTCTGGAATTAAAGGGATAGTTCACCCAAAAATGAAATTTCTGTCATTAATTACTCACCCTCATGTCGTTCCAAACCCGTAAGACCTTCGTTCATCTTCGGAACACAAATTAAGATATGTTTGATGAAATACTTACTACGTGGAAAATAATTGTTAAATAAAATCTTTATTTTTGTTTGTTTTCTGCGCACAAAAAGTATTCTCGTCGCTTCATAACATTAAGGTTGAACCACTGTAGTCACATGGACTATTTTAACGATGTCTTTACTACCTTTCTGGGCCTTGAAATTTGCAATGATGTTGCTGCCTATGGCTGGTTCAGAAACTTCACGGATTTCATCAAAAATATCTTAATTTGTGTTCCGAAAATGAACGAAGGTCTTGCGGGTTTGGAACGACATTAGGGTGAGTAATTAATGACAGAAATTTCATTTTTGGGTGAACTAACCCTTTAAACAATGTGATGCCTGAACCTGTATAATAACCAAAATAGCTTATATGATCGCTTACCTCTGGCAAACTCTGAACTTTGCAGAATTTGACCCCATTCCGTAACCTGAAACAACCAAAGGAATCAACATTAACACTTTAATTTCTGCAACCACCTCATTCAATTTAATCAACAAGTTCATACTCACTTCTTGCATTTTTCACAGCTGTACATGTTGTCTCCTGAAAAAAACAAAAACAAACAGACACCCAGCCAGTGAGAATTAAATATAAATATAAACAGTTCTATAAAGTGAAAGATTTCCATATTTATCTACTTTTTTTTTTATGTCAGACTCAAAACAGTACTATCAGCTATTGGTTAGTTTGGGTGACTTAAAGCTTTGAGAAATGTCAAACCTTTTAGTTCATCCCTGGCAAAAAAGGCAGCCAGACAGTCCTGCAGCGTGACCACAGGCCCCCAGAACCAACTAAAATCAATAAGCAGAAATAAACAATCAGGGACAATTATTCAAAACCAACACCTTAAGTCTTTTTCCTTGGTCTACAATGTTATACATGCTTATATACAGGGAACTAAAATGAACACTCGCCAAGCGCCAAATAAAAGTAAAAATCGGTGTTGGTGAGTCAATCACCAGTTGGCTGATAATATTTTTAGGAATTTTAATAGGCTTGCTGCTACTAGTTGGTGCTCTGCCACAAAACTGTTCCATCACTTGCCCACCGCCCCCCAACGTCGATTTGATTTCTTATAGTAATAAAAATTATTTAGTTCAGTTAGAGAGCAGTGCCCGGTTGCATAAAGCACCTTAAGTTTTTCCCTTAAGTATGATACTTAAGGGGCGATTTACCCTTACCTAAGAGAACAACTTAAGGGTGTTGCATATAATCTCTTAAACGGTTCTCTTAGGTAAGGGAAACATTTAAGTGTTTCACGACAGCGATCCTGGATTCACGTTATAAAAGTCTGTTGTTGCCATAGATACGCAAAACACTAACATGTCGGAATATCACGTGTCAGTCCAGTGACGCTATCACGCAACACCGCGTTAGCTCCGAACGTGGCGGCAGTTTGTGTTGTTCACCGTCTCATGCTTTGGCATTTGTTTAGGTTTTGTGAATGCACTTCTGGCTCTGTGTCTCGAAATACAGCTGAGTATATTTCCATAGCATACCTGTTTTCTTCTGTCATGATTCCTTTTAAAACACAGAATCAGCTCGTTCTCCTGTGAATTTTTTGTCGGCCACACACTCTCCGTGCGCGCACTGACTTAACGTTGTGATAGTTTACATGCGAGTCGCGTGTAATGACAGACAGACGGCCGTCTAGTTTGATAGCGATGTCAAATATTGCGTGTCGATCAAATCGGTATTCTTGCAACAATTTTTCATGGCTAAATTGGTCCAAAGGGTTCTCCCTATTCCCTATGATCTTCAGCTGGTTTCATAAATTCAGCCATGTCGTCTTATTTTTGTCCGCGTTACTCTTAAGGTTACGATTTCCAAACCTTAAGTTATACTTAGGGAAATTACCGTTAAGGGGTTTTATGCAACACTTAACGATTACTTAAGTGAAAAAACAGCATTTAAGGGAAATTCTAAGTGTTTATGACGTTTCACTTAAAAAAACCGTTAAGTAACACTTAAGGGTATTTTTCTGCAACACCCTTAGGTTTAAGGGAAACATAAGGGCGACTTTAAGGGCAAAATTACACTTAAGGTGCTTTATGCAACCGGGCACTGACACTACAATTAAAAACTGAACACGTCTGCTCAATGCAGCGTGAGCCGAACAAGAGTCACAGCACGGATCAGCAGCAGGACTCAGATTTTGCCTCACTCTTGACTGACAAGACTATGGCGGAAGATTTGGTTTCAAAGCGAAATGTAAAAGTGCCTATTTAAGCGAGTTTGTCATTGTAGTGTTTTGTAGTTGTGTTTTTCATTAAGAATAATAATGAACTCAACATTCAAGCAACTGCTGCGCCGGAATTGGCGCTAATTCGAAAGTGGTGCGTGTCCGCTGGTGCGGAGCAGAGCAAGCGTTTTCAGTTCATTCCTGTGGAAGTTGAGCTTCCATAGGAATTAACTGGAAATACTCGCTCTGTACCGGTGGACATGCACCACAAGCGATTTAAAAGCGAGGTAAAAAAAAAAAAAAAAAAGGAAAAACTCCACCGTCCCCCTTAAGGTGATACCAGTATTACAGCTGTTGTCACACATTGATTAACCGGTAGGAAAATTTCCTCACCGTCACATCCCTCAAATCTAACGATGCAAAATTGGGAGAACATGAACAATTTAAGCCGTGCCAATTTAAATATTCAAACTCAAGACGACGCGAAAGGGACCTCAATTCGTCACTCGAGCGATGTGTGGTACTGCAATACTGAATTGAGCAGCCTTTCACGTCTTCTTGTGCTTGAACAGACATATTCAAACAAAATTACGTCAAAATGCCCGCCTTGGCAAGTTCTGCTTAAATGGGTCAAAAAAACACTAAAAAACACCCCGTCGAGAAAATCAAGTTTTTAATTTTGTTGTGTGTGTGTGTAAATTGCTTTAAGACAAACCATGTGTAAATTCATCAGCCAAAACTATTTCTGAGTATTTTCTCCTTAAAACGGCAGTTTACCAAAGACAGTCTCAAAAACGTGGTTTGAAACCGCCCCTGTTCTCTACATCACAAGCATGTAACCAATCCCGTCAACCTGCGGATGCTGGTTGTTAGAAGGCAGCCGTCTAACTCTGAGATGGAGAACGGGAATATGGTTTGTGTAACATAAGCAACACATTATTAGTTGTTTGATAACCTAGTCAAACCAAAAGCTAATCATATCAATTACCGTAGTGTCGAAATTCTGAATGGATTGTATATAGCCTAGAAAGCACGCAAAAATGGCTCCCTTTATAATCACTAAAAGCTTTCACTAATTGCAGTTCGCGATCTCACAAGTTCAAAATTATAATCAATGAAGTTGCCTACATTGAACAATGAATCTCTTATTTTACATCATGTCCGCACTTTGTTAATGAGAGGATTCGTGAGCGTGCAGAACTCAAGCACCCTCGTAGAACCGGGCCAGCCTGTATAATTTTCTTTTCCTAAGAATCAGTTTCTGGTTCAAACATACCTCTTGATATATTCCATGACGAAAGAAATCCAGCCTTGAGGGGCGTAGGCTTCCCCACAGGAACCAGCCTTGACAAGAGCCGTCTGGTGGGAGGACGAGTGCAGCTTGGCAAGGTCCTCTTTCCCTGGGATGGGCAGAGAGATGTCCTGGAAGTTCTCCAAAGTCACCGATACCTGAGAAAGGAAGGACAAGTAACAGAGGAGCCGGATTTAAAATGCTAATCTGTAACTGCAAATACTGCCAGGAACAATAACAGAGACATTAAAACAACGGTGATGAAAATAGCTCTATTGAAACAAAAATATCATCATGTCAAGCTTTGTACAATTTACTCTATTATCACTGATTATTTTTCATATGCAAGGGATGTTGATTTAATAAACAACATTATAAACAAAATATTTATTTAACGTAAAATTACTTGTATCTGCGCAGACAATTAAGTGAATACTTAAAAAGGTTTAAAAAAAATTTATATGATCAAACCATTTCCACATTATCATCAAATTTTTTTTTATTTTTTTTATTTTTTAAATATTTTAAAATGTAATGTATTCCTGTGATGGTAAAGCTGAACTTTCAGCATCATTACTGAAAGTCTTCATGTCACATGATCCTTCAGAAATCATTCTAATATGATGAGTGATTTGCCGCTCAATAAACATTTATTATTATTATTAATGTCGAAAACAGTTTTGTTGCTTGATATTTTTGTGGAAACTGTAATGCGTTTTTTTTTTCCAGGATTCTTTGCTGAATAGAAAGTTCAAAAGAGCAGGATTTATTTGTAAAATTAAATTGATAAAAAAAAATGATAGCAAAGGCATTTATAACACATCTTTGCTGGATAATTGTTTTTTTTAAATAAATAAATAAATAAATAAATACACACATGCAGATATACAGTGAGGAAAATAAGTATTTGAACACCCTGCTATTTTGCAAATTCTCCCACTTAGAAATCATGGAGGGGTCTGAAATTGTCATAGGTCCATGTCCACTGTGAGAGACATAATATAAAAAAAAATATCCAGAAATCACAATATATGATTTTTTAACTACGGTATTTATTTGTATGATACAGCTGCAAATAATTATTTGAACACCTGTCTATCAGCTAATTCTGACCCTCAAAGACCTGTTAGTCTGCCTTGAAAATGTCCACCTCCACTCCATTTATTATTCTAAATTAGATGCGCCTGTTTGAGGTCGTTAGCTGCATAAAGACACCTGTCCACCCCATACAATCAGTAAGAATCCAACTACTAACATGGCCAAGACCAAAGAGCTGTCCAAAGACACTAGACCAAAGAGCTGTCCAAAGACACTAGAGACAAAATTGTACACCTCCACAAGGCTGGAAAGGGCTACGGGGAAATTGCCAAGCAGCTTGGTGAAAAAAGGTCCACTGTTGGAGCAATCATTAGAAAATGGAAGAAGCTAAACATGACTGTCAATCTCTCTCGGACTGGGGCTCCATGCAAGATCTCACCTCGTGGGGTCTCAGTGATTCTAAGAAAGGTGAGAAATCAGCCCAGAACTACACGGGAGGAGCTGGTCAATGACCTGAAAAGAGCTGGGACCGCCGTTTCCAAGGTTACTGTTGGTAATACACTAAGACGTCATGGTTTGAAATCATGCATGGCACGGAAGGTTCCCCTGCTTAAACCAGCACATGTCAAGGCCCGTCTTGAGTTTGCCAATGACCATTTGGATGATCCAGAGGAGTCATGGGAGAAAGTCATGTGGTCAGATGAGACCAAAATAGAACTTTTTGGTCATAATTCCACTCGCCGTGTTTGGAGGAAGAAGAATGATGAGTACCATCCCAAGAACACCATCCCTACTGTGAAGCATTGGGGTGGTAGCATCATGCTTTGGGGGTGTTTTTCTGCACATGGGACAGGGCGACCAGCCTGTATTAAGGAGAGGATGACCGGGGCCATGTATTGCGAGATTTTGGGGAAGAACCTCCTTCCCTCAGTTAGAGCATTGAAGATGGGTCGAGGCTGGGTCTTCCAACATGACAATTACCCGAAGCACACAGCCAGGATAACCAAGGAGTGGCTCTGTAAGAAGCATATCAAGGTTCTGGCGTGGCCTAGCCAGTCTCCAGACCTAAACCCAATAGAGAATCTTTGGAGGGAGCTCAAACTCCGTGTTTCTCAGCGACAGCCCAGAAACCTGACTGATCTAGAGAAGATCTGTGTGGAGGAGTGGGCCAAAATCCCTCCTGCAGTGTGTGCAAACCTGGTGAAAAACTACAGGAAACGTTTGACCTCTGTAATTGCAAACAAAGGCTACTGTACCAAATATTAACATTGAAGTTGGGGGATTCATGTTGATATAATTTGTTCTCGTGTGCAGCAAAGACTGTATTTTTTACGTAGACTCAGACTTTATGGAGTGGACCAGAAAATTATGTGGTTGTTTTATCAGGCAGTTATAGAGAGCATAGTCAGATATGGCATTACAGTTTGGTTTGGTAACCTTACAGTTCAGGTAAAGTCGAAGCTTGCACGTTTGGTTAGAATAGCGATGAAGACCATTGGGAGAAAAGAATTTTTGTCTCTTGAGTCATTATATGAACAATCGGTCCTGAGAGAAGCACATAAAATCGTGGTTGATCCATTGCATGTTCTGTACACTGAGTATGAATTGTAACCTTCTGGAAGACGATACAGATTTCCGATGTGTAGATATAACCGTTTTAAGAAGTCTTTTATCCCTTTTTCAATTAAATTGTTAAATGATGAATGATGTGTATATATGTGTATGTATATGTATGTTTGTGTTTAGGAATTGTTATTTATTATAATACTAGTGATTTTAATGTATGCATTTCAATGTTTCAATGTCAATGTAAACACCTTGAGTCCAACACAAATTTCCCCTTTGGGGACAATAAAGTGTATTTCATTTCATTTCATTTCATTTTCTCAGGTGTTCAAATACTTATTTGCAGCTGTATCATACAAATAAATAGTTAAAAAATCATACATTGTGATTTCTGGATATTTTTTCTTTAGATTATGTCTCTCACAGTGGACATGCACCTACGATGACAATTTCAGACCCCTCCATGATTTCCAAGTGGGAGAACTTGCAAATACTTATTTTCCTCACTGTATATACACATGGCATTTTAGTCAAGAGAAATTATGACAAACAAAACTGTAAAAATGAACACAGATCATCAATGGCTCAATGAACACAACATCAAATCAACGACTTAATACTCATTTGATGTGTAAAAGGTTGCTTAAGAAAGTTTTGCTTTAAGAATAAATTGCTTTCATGTTACACCACATTTTTAGGGTTTTCTGACAATGAACAACCCGTAGCTTATATCTGTTTATTAACCTATCAACCTTTGACCTTGGTTTTTCTAGTGTCACACTAATAACAACGTCATACTAAATTAAAGTCTAGCAGCTAATCTGCAGGAACTCCATATATCAGTCAATCACAAGTACGTTGTCCTCTGTTATTTTTAAAATGCTTTTCTCTGCTAACTGAAGAATCAAATGCTTGTGTTCACTTTGTCAAAGCGAGGTTGTTTGGGTGAAAAACACACAAGTCACTCACCCGGTCGCAGGTCAGACACTGAACTGAGCTGACAATGGTGCCGTCGAACACTTCAGAGATGATGCTGCGATATTTCCTCTGCCGCTTGCTCTTAGGTGGGTTGAACGAGGGTACTGTCAACATGACATACCACAACCATTTAGGATCAATGTCAAATCTGTTTCAGTTCAGGTTATGGAAATAAGCAAACAACAATAAAAAAGTAGGGCTGTCAAATGATTAATCACGATTAATCACATCCAAAATAAAAGTTTTTTTTACATAATATATGTGGGTGGATTGTGTATAATTATTTTGTATATATATATAAATACACACACATGCATGTATATTTAAGAAAAAAATATAATTTATATATAAAATATTTATATTTATATATAATATAAATTATATATAAATCTATATACAGTATACACATGAAAATATTTCTTAAATATATACAAGCATGTGTGTGTATTTATATTTATAAAATAATTATACACGATGCACCCACATATATTATGTAAAAAAAACTTTTATTTTGGATGTGATTAATCACGATTAATCATTTGACAGCCCTATAAAAAAGTAATACATTTAAATAACTAGTATATAAAACTAGTTCATTCCCGAAGTGATTTCGCCTGAAATTCTGGTACCTTTCTTGTGAGTTGAGCTCAGGTTTGTCCACATGGATTTGGGGGGACTGCAGGACAGTCTAGATGTGATTCCATCATTTCCACAGGGACTCTGCGGCCTGACGCTACTGCTGACATGGGTTTCAGGGTTTGAATCTGAACAAAGAGGAAACACAGAATTTAGTCAAGAAAAGCAAGCAAAACATTCACAGACCTTCATTTATTCCAAGTAAGGCCCTGATATCCATCCGTCCAAATTAAAGAACGAAATTCCAAAATTCCTCATTCATCAAGGTTGGACGCAAGTAAAATCATAAAAACACTGGAGTGCCGACATATCCCCATCGCTGAGATCAGATGCTTTCAAAATGTTCGTAAACAGTCTAGCATTGGGCAGCTATTTCAAACTTTTTTACCTCACTTTTCAGTGAGTTTACCAGGGATATCAGACTGACATGTTAGTATAATTAACTTGATTTCATTAACGTCCTTACGTTCACCTGAAGTTCGGCCCTGAGCTTTAATGGCTCCTTGGCTGCTGATAATCGGCCTAGACTCGGTGGTCGTGTCCACGTCTTTATCCAGGTCACAATGGGAACCGGCACGGTACAAGTTGTTGATGAGATTTTTCTCTTTCTGCCAATCCCGGTTGTTTTGGTTCTGCTCTGGCATCAGCATCTCCGCTTCGTTGATGTCTTCTGGGACTCTGGGGCCTTCGCTTTCGGCACGATCGCTGCTGCCGCACGACTCGCAGGACTGGAAGTCGTCGGATTGGCTGTGGTTGTCCTCGTCGGGACTGTCATCCATGGCCAAAGCTTGGTTTGGGTCCTCGGGTTCAGGAATGAGCTCCTTGAGCTCCTCGTGGAGTTGGTCCATCAGACAACGCAGGAACTCCTGAGAGTCCTTAGGATGGAGAGAGATTTTAGTGTTTTACAAAATAAGAACAAACAAAGAATGTTTAAACTCTATGCTAAGGCCCGTTCACGCCAAGGAATAGAACTATAATGATAACAACAAGACTACAAAGTTGTAATAATCGTTCTAATTCAGTAAGAATAGGGAAGTTCACTCCACAGCTATAACGATAACAACACAGAGGTACAATATCATTAAATTCACTTTCAGAATGCTTTTTTTTTTCAGCTGATGAATTGATGAATGATAAAAATATTGACAACGTCGCTCATAATAAACAGCACGTTATAATGCTTTGGTGTGGACGCTTAAATAATTATCGTTATCTTTATAGTTATTGTTCTTGGTGTTAACCGGCCTTTAAAGGTGCACTCGGTAATTTTTTGTTTATGTTGCGCTGCCCAATATAACAGTATATTGGACTTGCACTGCCATCTAGTGGACTGGATGAAGCATCACATAAAATCAAAGATTTCCAGTTCCTGAAACACATTATTTTAAGTAGCCCTGCACATGATATGTGGAAGAAAACTAGTTATCGTCGCCACAAATTAAGAACTCCCCGTTTATTAAATTGTGCCGGCATTTTTTATTAATTTGCTCCCAAGTTTCAGTTAAATCCATGTTTAAATTTAGTTAAATTCTGGCCGAATTTACTTAATTCGTCTTAATATTCCCCTTAATATTATATATCAAAATATAACAAACAACAAACAAAAAGTGCTTTCAGTAGCCTATAGATTATCTGAACGTTTTCCATTCAAGAACTGAGTGATTTTTCTTCATCTTTACTGTTGTTTTTTACTATGACATCATAGACTGCAGAAGATCTATTAAGCTGCATTCACGCACGCATCTCTTTTGAAATAAAAGAAGTAATCCGGTGTGTCCTGTCTGTTTAATCCCTTAAGACATAACTGACTGTGTTTACGTTAATTTTGCACAAGTACATTAAACCACTACACGGAGTCGCACAGCCGCATGCGCGAGCAGTCTCACAAACAAAGCGCGCGTCAGCATTTGAAATTGAAAGCAGCCTTCTGTTAGTGAGGTTCATATTTTAAATATAAAAGTCCACTGCATTCCAAACCACATAAATGATGACTTCGTAGAGCAATTGTAAGGAAAATACAGATGGGCGAGACTGCACACTTCAAGTGTAACATCAAAGAAAGCGCGCGTCTCTCACAGCGTATCCTGTGCAATGAAGCCTGTGAATGTCCGTGTTATTCGCTTCAACCTTTCCGAACTTTATGAAAGATTATTTTACGGAAGGTTCGAGTGGTGTATGTGTGTGAGGAATTGGAAGCAAGCAGAATACAGGTGTTTCTAAAGCAAACTCAACGTCATCGCACATCTGGTTAAAAACTAAGCTCAGAATCGATTCTGGAATTCTCAGAATCGATCCAGAATCGTTGGAGAGAGAATCGCGATGCATCGATGGATCGATTTTTTCTCCCACCCCTAGTACAATTACATCACTGATCGTTCCTATTGTGTGGGTTAGACCCTACTCTCAAGGTTAGACCCTACTCTAATTTAGCAGGGCTTGACATTAACTTTTTGAGGCACTTGTCCTTCGGACAAGTAAATTTATGTTTCTCTTGTCCATGCACAAAAGTCACTTGTCCGGGTAAAGATTTATAATTTTATCTAGGGCTGCACGATTTGGGGAAAATGTCATATTGCGATTATTGAGTTCAATGTTGCGGTTGTGATATGCGATTGCGATATAATAAACAAATGGTTTCATGAGTCAACTTGTTTGGTTCTAAACCAAATGCACACACAGATTAGTGATAATTCTGAAATTAGCAATAACAACTAAATGATTGATAACACCTATAATGATCAATAAGCCATTGATGTCTGGATAAAAATTAACTGTCTAACAGGTAGGACATATACAGAAGTTGAATAAAGTTATCAAACAGTCTGGGCTGCATAAATTATAAATTATATATAGACTACTACTTATTGAAGCTACACAAGTTCTTTAGTCAAGAGCAGTGAGTAATTTTCTCTGTTCCCTTTGTTCTTTCAGTAACTTTACTGACAGAACGCTTTATTGGTAGCTGGCCCTTTAAGAGCAGCCGCTGTGGACAGAGACGCGGATATCACACGCGCCTCATTCTCTCACGAGTCACAACTCTCAAGACTGTTCTTATGTTATGAAGATACTCGACAAATGACATTTTGGCTTAATTGTGTGTGTTGTTGATGTTCGTTCAAGCGCGAAAGAGAACTTCTGGCGCGCGGTCTGTGCATGCGCATTATACTGGCGCGCGTCTTTCTGTGAGTCACATTCAGGACATTCACAGGCAGCGCGAAAAAATGTGTTCGTTTCAAATCGGTCAAATTAAATCTGTAAAATAGACGTAACGAGTGGCACATAACGTGAAGTAACATGGCATTTTATTTTGTTTGAAATTTAACTAATTTTCTCTTCTACTTGTCCTACAAAAAATCCACTTGTCCCGGACAAGCGGACAAGCCTTAATGTCGAGCCCTGTTTAGACCCCCAAAAGGCGTTCCTAGAACTCAATTTTTTCCCAGTACCTGCGGTGCGCCAAAAAGTGGGTACATTAGTTATAGTAACTATGAAAACGTTCCTCTGGTGCGAAAGCATGTATTCATAGTCAACCATTAATTATTCTGCAAGTCTGTCCAATAGCAGGAGGTGATTGAGAAAAAATGAGCAGATATATCTGCCAGTACTGATATCTCGGCCAGCAAATGACAGAATTTACATTTTTGGGTAAACTATCTCTTCAATTACATTTGTCTTGAAGACCTGTCCATTAAATTTGACGGTTAAGTCCTGACGTGTGCCCTGACCTGACAGTCACGCACACATTTACAGGTATTATAAAAAGAATGCAAAATTCATGAAGCATCACTTTTATAAACCAGAGATTAGCCAGAGACCCGCAGAGACCCCATCACCATAGGAACAGCTGAAGCTTATTAGAACATTAGTCATTACTGGCTCATCCACATGGCAACAAGCCCAACTGGCATTCTAACATCCTGATATTAAGAATCCTGGTATGCAAACAAGTTTCTAACAACAGAACACAGCAAATTAGACCAGAAGGCCATCGCTGTATAATGTCAATGCAGTACAAGGACAAAGGGTTTCCTGGCTGTATGATGATGTCAACCAATGCCCATTTCCCTTCATACTTAGTAGAGGGGTTGACTTTAAAACAAGGAATTCATTGACTGAATGCCCCCTCTACAGGAGTCCACAGACTATCTGAGTCTCTGAAAAGCCTGTGATGGCCCATTCATGTCAACACTAATTCTCCAAACGGCCTTCCTCTCCAGCCAGGCGTGACAATGGATGTAAGCCACAGTTTGGAGGTGATCAAACATATAGAGAGACTCTGAATCAGTTTGTGCTCCATATAAGAGAACAACATCTCTCATATGCAAGACTAAAACAGGGTCTTTACTGTTTAAATGCAGCTGGAGGACAAAGTATGGCAAGAAAAAGGATGAAAAAAAAACAGAACGAAGTGAAACAGTCAGAGGCTCTAACAGATGAAATTCCCTCTGCTAGCAAGATCATTTGAGCTTGACCTCATCTGTCATTGGTTGAAATGAAAGGATAGTCCCGCCACAAACTCATGCCATTGGTTGACTAAGTTGGGCTGGTCTGGGTGAGGCTAGTCCTCTTTTTATATGAATTTAGGGGCCTATAAAACATGAATAATTGAATAAATCTAATCAAATGAACAATGAAAATACAATAAAACAGCCTTTTTGTCAATGTGCTGCACAACAGAGTTTAACAACAGTGTTTCCACATTGTGGAAGTCATAGGGCCTTACAATTCACAAAATGTCGTTTTTCATATCGTTAACAGACAATTTTAGAGAATTTTAATTTTTGTGTGTATTGGATGGTACTGGCTATTTCATCATGGATTAAAATTCCTCTTATTTTTATATTTAGATTACCCTTTTCATCATCTAATCGATAAAAAACACTAACAATTTAATAACACATATCTTTAGCAAATCTCAAAATTAATGTCTTTCATTCTGTACATTATAATGTTGTGATGCTTAAATTCACAAAAGCAACTGTCATCAACAAATGATTTTAGTTTTTTATTGTGCATAAATTGACCAAATAGAATGAATATTTTAAAATACACTCATGTTCAAAAAGACTTTTTATGTTTTTGAAAGAAGTTTCTTATGCTAAGCAAGGCGGTATTTATTTGATCAAAAATGGATTAATAATTACAATTTTAAATAACTGTATTCGATATTAGTATATTTTAAAATGAAATTAATTCCTGTGATGTCAAAGCTGAATTTTCAGCATCATTACTCCAGTTCTCAGTGTCACATGATCCTTCAGAAATCATTCTAATATACTGATTTGAACAATTCTTCTTATTATCAAAGTTGAATACAATTGTCAGGATTCTTTGATTCACAGGGAAAAAACAGCATTTATTTAAAATATAATTTTTATGAAACATTATAAAATGTATTTACTGACACATTTGATCAATTTAATGTATATCCTTGCTAAATAAACTTTACTGATCCCAAACTTTTGACCGATAATATAAGCCATAATATAGGACAGAATAGTAATAATGGTGCATACCTGTTGGGAATAACCACGAAACATTGGGTTTACAGCCTTAATGCCCTGGAATAGATTTGTGGGAACAACATAGGAGTTCCTGCAACCACACACAAAAAAAAAAAAAAATCAAAAGCAATAAAAGTTATATTGAAAACATGTTTCTTGAGGAAAAAATGAGAATAAAATAGGAAATGGCACAAGAATAATGTACCTGTTTTTGTGCCACAGGTCTGTGATGAGTTTCTGATAGCTCTTGCATAGCGCTGGCTTCTTGTCTGTCTTCACCAGACCGCCACAGTCCAAGAAAAACTGAGTCAGTGGAGGACTAGAAGATAAACCAAAAAGAGAGAGTGGAAAAGACTGGAAGAGAACAATTAGAACACATTAGCGACACATTTCTGTGGTTCTTCTTACCAGTTAGAGAGCGCCTGGAGCGCTGCATTCATGTAGCAGGTATTGCCGATGTTCTTCAGTCCAGTCAGACCTGTGAGGAGAAACGGATGGCCAGGTTCAGACTAACAGTGTTTGCGATGCAGAGCAAAAGCACAGAACTCTAGACATGAGAGACGAAGGACCTCTGGTCCTCAGTTCGTCCTCCTCCTCAGTTTCCATGTCCAGGTCATCACAGTTTCCCGCGGGAGGGATTCTCAAGGAGGTGGGGCTCCCGGGAGCTTTGGAATCCTGAGAGAACAGAGAGATGATCAGCAACAGCACACCTTATGCAAAACCATAAACTATGTTCAGAAAAACTGTGGCCTCAAAATTAACAGGTGTGCTGTCTTTCTTTAAATTAAATTAAAAGAAAAGAAAGGGGGACAAAAAAATTCCAGACACTGATAATGTTCAGCATTCAAAACATAACTGACAAATATTATGTATTAAATGTTATGATTTGTCTTCTGCCTGACACATATTTGCATACCAAGATTGTGATTGGTCTTGTCTTCCTAGCAAACATTTTATAGCCAAGTTTGCACTGCAAAGACGCCGTTGCATATATAATGGAGGATTTTATCTACGCAGAACCGAACTTTCACACCATGTTTTGCCGCTTTGCATTCAAAGGAAAGCTGCATCAGAGCTCTGACCTGTACTGGAGAGATGGGTTTGGCAGCGCTGGGTGAGTGTGTGTGTGGACCCAGTTTTCTTTCCAGGAACACCTCCTTTGTGCAGGCGTAGCACCACACTCTCAAAGTGGTCAGATTCACTGTCAGGTTGTGCCGCGTCTCCTGGAAGAAAAAGGCACAGTGCTTAGGTGGACATGTGAATGAAAATAAAAGTGTATCTGCCAGTTTAACATTCAAAATGCAAATAAAATATAAACCACAAAAAAAAAAAAAAAAAGTCATGAAAAAATTCCTATAACTTAGCCTGGAAATCCAGACCCAAATCTGAAAGATTAAAGGTCTGGCATTGAGTAATGAAAATCGCCCAACTCGAGGGACGGCACCAAGCATGCATTTGAAAATCTCACTGCACGCAATTGGATAACACTACGACCAATCACAACAATACGCCCCATACGCTTAGCTACCAGCGGGGCTAACTGGTTAGACTCTTGCCGTGTCCGGTCGGCAAAACAGCAAAAACGTTCTTCTTGCAAAGGAACGATTCGAGCGCCGTCTTCTGTTCCTCTTTTAGATAAAAAGCCAAGTCTATCTCGTTCATTGTAGCGGCCAAAGCCGTTTCAAACAACTGGTGTTCATCAATAGCCATCTTGCGATGTTTACTAATGACTTCGACGTCGCAGCGCTGTCGTCATCTGTGTAGCTCGCCTCTGGCCCGCCTATATCAGATACACCAAAGTGATTGGTGCAGCTCGGCTACAAGGACATAGTTAATGAGCATCATTACTCGATGCCAGAGTGACTCGCTGAGCAAATTCAAATTGTGCTCTCGCGAGAACCCTGGATTTCCAGGGTAGCTATAACTAGAGATGCACAGTATAGTGGAGACCATGTCAATACCACCAATATCAGAAGGAGGAGGAGGAGGAGGAGGAGGAATAGAAGAATAATGAGAAGGAGGAGGAAGAACGGTTTAATTTCCTCATAATATACATTTGCACATCACCACATTTTCAATGATTCTCAAGCAAGCGGTTTGCGAATCCTGCATTGAACTCCGAGATTTGAGAAGCAGTCGTCAGTAAAATAAAGGGAACACAGCAAAAGTTTATACTGGTGTGGTATTGTGGTAAAGATGAATTTTAACCACTGATTCTTCACATGCTCGTCCTTGGGCTTTACCGTCTGAAAACTGTCTTTACCGTCACATTGTAGAGCACAGGGTCTTCTTGACATGATGCTGTCCAGTCCCCACAGGAATCAGCTGAAGTGTTTGAGGTTCAAGTTTTCCCTGGTGTCTGTATAAGTGGGCGGGCAATATGCGAATGTTTCGTCTTGACGTCACAACGAAACGGCTTATGACTCGTTTGAAAAACGTTTCATTCCATTGACTCGGAGTCGACTCTTACTTTGGAAAGACAATGGGCCCTATCTTGCACCCAGCGCAATTGACTTTGTACACTGACGCATGTGTCATTCGTATTTTGCACCCGCGCAAAGCAGACTTTTCCCTCCACAGACGCACGCCGGCAAACTAGGGAATGAACTTGCGCTCCCTGGGCAGTTCAGCGCAAAAAAGGAGGGGTGTTTCGGCGCAAACGTTCCCTGGTGCTATTTTGCAGTTCCAGAAAACGATTGCGCCACTGACCAGAAAAAACCTAGTCTAAAGTCAGCGGCGCGTTGCGCGTACATTCAGATGCTATTTTAAGCGCGCATGCTTGGCCATAATACAGAGTGTAAACAACGCGCATACACTGTAGAGGATTCTCTCATCTACACAGATGCATTTTACTTTTTGCAAATTATACATTATTATTAGGGGTGGTGAAAAAAATCGATTATTGATTAATCGCGAGTATGTTATGGACGAGTATGAATCGATTATTACATTTTCAAAAATCGATTTTTTATTATATATATATAAAAAAAAATTTGCATTATTTTATTTTTTGCATTATTGCATTATAACATTTGTAAAAAATGTTATACCGGAAGTTGAACGTCACGAACGCGCCCAGTTAGCAAGCGCGTGTAACGGCAGCTAGAGCGAGTGAGAGCAGGTGTGCGGAGACACACTGGCTGCGTGGCGGCGTCTCAGCTGCGTGGTGTGTCCGTTTTTATTTCGGCTCCCATGTTAACAGGTTAGAGCTTGCACACTGCCTGCATGAGCCGCGCGGATAACGCGTGCATGCTAGAAATAGAACCGACGCCTATTTTTCACGCGACACGCAAGCGTGTTGGAAGCGTTTCCAGGCAAAATAGAATAGGAAACGATGTTTATATGTCATTTTGTACACGAATACATATTAATAAATTACATTTTGATGTTTGAAAGTCTAGGTTTTGATATAAATTCAGATATCAATGTAATTTAAACAAATAATAATAAAGATTTTCAAATATTGCCATTATTTTTGCCTATATACAAATTTATGTCATTTTTATTTTTTAAACAATCGAGTCCTGGTGTTCACTACAGAGGTCATAGCATAACATATGAATAAAATATCTCTTTTTTTTCATTTGTTTCTTATGCTCTTAAAGGGATACTCCACTTTTTTTGGAAATAGGCTCAATTTACAACTCCCCCAGAGTTAAACTGTTGAGTTTTACCGTTTTTGAATCCATTCAGCCGATCTCCGGTTCTGGCGGTACCACTTTTAGCATAGCTTAGCATACATCATTGAAGTGGACAAGACCATTAGCATTTCTCATTAAAAAATGACCAAAGTGTTTCGATATTTTTCCTATTTAAAACTTGACTCTTCTGTAGTTACATCGTGCACTAAGGCCGACGGAAAATGTAAAGTTGCGATTTTCTAGGCTGATATGGCTAGGAACTATACTCTCATTCCTGCGTAATAATCAAGAAACTTCACTGCCGTACCATGAGAGCAGCAGGCGTAATGATATGACGCAGCGCCTGAAAATAGTTCCGTTGTGTTGACGGAAGGTGGCCTATTTTCAGGCGCTGCGTCACATCATTACGCCTGCTGCTCTCATGGTACGGCAGTGAAGTTTCTTGATTATTACGCAGGAATGAGAGTATAGTTCCTAGCCATATCAGCCTAGAAAATCGCAACTTTACATTTTCCGTCGGCCTTAGTGCACGATGTAACTACAGAAGAGTCAAGTTTTAAATAGGAAAAATATCGAAACACTTTGGTCATTTTTTAATGAGAAATGCTAATGGTCTTGTCCACTTCAATGATGTATGCTAAGCTATGCTAAAAGTGGTACCGTCAGAACCGGAGATCGGCTGAATGGATTCAAAAACGGTAAAACTCAACAGTTTAACTCTGGGGGAGTTGTAAAATGAGCCTATTTCCAAAAAAAGTGGAGTATCCCTTTAACAATGTGATTATATGAAGAAGAAAAAAAACTTTAGAAAAAAACGTTCTGGGCCTCAGGAGGATATAAAGATAATAGGCTACAATAACAACATAGTGTGTCTTCTGAGTGACGGTCCACCATCAGGCTAAATATAGGCTCTTTAAAGCTACACAAAATTTGTAAATGTTATTGAAATAAACAGACAGCCCACTTCCCTATTTTTCGGATTTTGGAAGATGTGTGATAACAGTTGAAATTGTTGTCGTAAAGGCAAGAGGCAAGAGTTGAAATTGTTGTAGTAAGGATTAACACACCGCTAACCCAAATGTAGACTGTCCCTCTATGTCACCTAGCAGCAGCGGCGCCGCGTCAGACACGTTTCTGGTGTGCAAAGACACAGAAAACGCGACGCAGCTGACACGCAACAGAAACGCCACGCTCACGCCACGCAGCCAGTGTGTCTCCGGCCTAACGAGCGTTGCTTGCTACAACACCTTGTCTTTCTAGAAGAAAATTGTCCAATTTCTACAGTATGTTGGTTCTGATCTACTTCCTAAAGGAAATAAGCCTTTCATTTATTTGTTATTGTTTAGTTCAACTTGATGAGTCACAACACAATGTGATGTATTCATTTCTGTGTTCTACAGAACATAAGCTACATACAAATAATTCTGAAGTTATAACTACACGACACAGAAAGTGCTTTGAGTTGTTGTTACTCAATAAAAGAGTTAAGTAATTCAGCAGCTGACTTTTTTTAATACTGCAAACACTTTGTAGTGTATTTTCGTTTACTGTTGTGAAATGAAAAATCAATAATCGCTAATCGAGAATCGTTAATAATCGAAAATCGACTGTAATCGAATCGGGACTTCAATAATCGAATCGAATCGGGAAAATCAGACAGATTAACCACCCCTAATTATTATAAGGAAAAATATTAAAACACGAGGGAAATCATTGTTGTGTCCATGACGATGGGAAAAATAGGCATAAAGCTTACACATTTACACAAATTATTATATGCATGTTTAACCGAAGCTAATTTGGGTGGGTTTGTCCCATCCCCAATGTCACTTCTCCTTCTTTTACGGCCTTGACGAGAACATCGATCTCCTCGGCTGTGAACCGATTCTGAAGCGCGCCTGGTAAATGCGCCGTTATAATAGTATTGCGCCATGGAACAAGCGCACCTCGTTCATCATGCTCTTAAAGGGAATGTGATTTAACGCTCTTATTGGTTTGTTTCCCGTTACGCCCAAACCACACTTATGAACAATAAAGCTACTTCAGACCAAGCCCTTTTAGATTTGCGTAGAGCGCAAGAGTCATTTATCCCGCCGGTTAAATAGCAACAGCGCCGAGATCCGCCCACAAAGTTACTTGCGCTTTGCGCTTGACACTTGCGTTTTAGATCGTTAAAATAGGGCCCAATAACTTTATATACGGTGCCCTTTCAGATTTAAAACTTTGCAGGATGTTTTCATTCACTTAGAGCTATGGTACACACTACATGAAAGGTCATTTTCAAAAATCCATAATAGGGACCCTTTAAGAATATCACAAGTTCTGGATCAAATCAAATTACATAGGCTAAATGCCATATTTCAGCTCGAAAATGGCAAAGTTCACCAAAACGTGTGACTTTGACGACTGTGGGGCAATACTGTGTACCAACAACAATAATAAGTAAATGTTTGAATAGCCTCGGCCACTTATCCGCTACTGGTTTCAACCAGAACTTCCACATCAGTGCGTTTCTGCTTCCCAAATAAAGGCAGCTTGAGTACTGATCTACTTCTCTACATATAATGCAACAGAAAGACTCTTCAAAATGTAGGGTGAAACGAAAGTGTATTGCTACAAGAATGAAAGCGTAGTAGGGGAAATGGGGAGTGGTGACGTTAGGTCAAGGTTTGCACACACAGCGGTGGCTGAGGGGTCTCTGCATTATTCATGTGTCTGGATTGGCTTTCACTGCGGCACTACAACTGGTGCAGACAGGGACAGATAAAACATTTATGAGAGCTGCGCCAAAATACAAGCCCTGCCAACATCTGCCACTCCGACCACAGTGACCGAGATGTAATACATGCCCATATCTAATTGAACTCGCAGCACAGCAAGGCTAACATGATAGAAAACTCATCTACATTATACATTGTGGTAAACGCAAAGCACACTCATGACCCTGGGAATTTACATGATTGAAAACAGGATTAAATAATAATAATCTTTATGTGTCTACAAAGACACTTGCATTGCCCTGATGGGCAGAGCAGGATGTGATGTGGCATTAGGATCAAGCAAGACTATCGGGGCATTCCTCATTGACACTTTCAAATTTGGTCCAAAGGCTTTCTTATTCTTATCCTTGGCTTTCGAGTGTCTGATCATTGTAAGTGATATGTAGCATGACGGATGATATTTGCTGCGTTTGTTGTGTTTTATGTATTTATTTTATGCTTGTACTGCTAGAGTATTGTTTTGAAAGTGCTTTATATAAAAAACTAAGTACTAAATACAGTAATAGCCTTTGTGATTATTTTAAAGCTTATACCCTTAAAAAAGGTGGTTGCTAGCAAGTGACTAAATGGGACTACAGAGGTTGTCGAGGACATGAAACATCTTTTTTTTTTTCACTTTCCACTACTTCCGTCTCTTCTCAACTACGAAATAAGCTTGTGTGATTTACATATTAATGCGCCCGGAGACAACGGAAAAAACATACGGAGAGCAGCAGCTTTCGTTTCTGCTCTGAGAGCCGCTAGAATCACACCAAATGCTTTGAGTGTGTGTTAGAAATCAGGAATGGTGAGAGTAAGTCATTGTGTTCGGTAAGTTTTTCATCTTCAAACCAAGCTTGGGTCTTAAATGGCGACAAAGTTTAAATCCCGTCTGGCTAGCGCGCTAGTTTACTCAGTTGACGGAGAGTAGATGGTCTTTTGTGGCTGTTCGAACTCATTCGATCACATGAGCGTTTACACTACGAAAGCAATCCGGTCGAATGCGTTTTCGACTACCTCTGGAAGTGGTCGAACGTGGACAAGCTCAAATTTTTTTTAACCCCGTTTACACCTGTATTTAGCGTCATCCACTTGTGATCCGATCGAACAAAACGCATATTAATACTAGAGCCCGACCGATATATCGGCGGGCCGATATTATCGGCCGATTTTAGGCATTTTCCTAACTATCGGTATCGGCATTTATAATGGCCGATAAATTAATATTTTTAAAAATGCGGGTGCGGTGATTCATGTAAGGGTGGCGCTGCCAATAAAGCACCTAAAAGCTGTCACAAGAACTGGCAAAAGTAATGATTATGAATACAACAAATATAGCAAGGAGACATTTTAATTGTTTATTAATAAACAAGTGTTTTCAGTCAGTGTCAGCCAAAGATGAAGTTGACGATGCTGACTCGCGATCTTCAGTGAAGGCGTGCCAGAGAGAAATGCACATTTCATACGATTGCATGAATCTGTCTGACTTTCGTTTTGAATTGTTCTGTTTAAAAGTAGACATTTCAATATAGATATATTTCAATTCTCAGGTCTATACGCTGAGTTTCGGTTCATGAGACGAGCTCCAGTTCACCCGCAGGCGCCTCCGTGTCGAGATTATCTATCGTCTGCTATATTTACTTCTTATAAATTAAATCCAGGCAAATGGTTGATGAAACATTGATTAAAATTACGATACAATTAATACAAAACGAAATTCACTTTGAAACGAAAGGTTTTGTGCTTTCTGTTTGATGTCTATGTGAAAGTTTCAAAGCATATTTTAGTGCCGCTTTCAGAGCGCTCACGTCCGCAGTGCTGAACTGTCGCGTCTGTAACATTGTTTTTTCCTCATAAATGCGAACACGAAAAATAAAATAAAATGAATATTTTATGTAGCCTGTGGAGACTGAGAGCCAACCCTTCTTCATCCGGTGGGTAGTAGCCTACTTGTGATTTGCGCAGTGTAATTCACAGAATTGATTTCTCTGCTACAAGCCTCTGTCACGTATTGTGTGAGCTTGTGACTATTGCAAGCGCGCAGCTGAGAAGTCCTGATTATATTGTCTGCTATATTTAGGCCTACTTCTTATTTATTAAGGCAATTGGTTGATGAAACATATTGATTAAAATGCGTGGCGCGAGCGATCTCCAACAGTAAACTGATTCTGCTTTGTCTCGGGTAAAACAGCTGTTGCGAAGCAAGCAGTAACGGCCGCGTCCGGTGTAGACACCGTGTTAAAGCTCATTCTGCCTGATAACGCTACGTTACAACATCAAGCAATATTCCAAAAATGTATATAATTATAACACTTTATATAGGGCCATTTTGCATAAAGAGTAGCCTAGTTTCACGTTTAGTAGCCTACATTTTGCTTACTAATTATTTAAAATAGTATAAAAGTACTGTACATATGTAATTAAAAACGTTTTCATTATGATATTATTAATTTTACTTTAGTAAAAAGATCTGAGTTCTTCCTCCACTGGTAGAGATTAGAGGAATTAAAATAGAAGATAATAAGGTTGTCAGTGACACTTTTTATATATTTATTGATACAGGTTATGACTAAATTAAAAGACAAAGTCGTTAGTGAAGATTATGCAACAGTATTTAGAATATAATATAATATAACATGCAAAGCAAACTAGTTTGGTTACAGCTCAGCTGTATAATTCTCATTCTATCATTCCCCCTGCCTCCATTACATATCTGTGTCACACAAGTGTTTGATTACCACATTTGAGTGATCATTGCAAAACGTGTTTATAAAATATATTTATTCTGTTTATAGCTACTGTGTAAAGTACCCATCAAAAGTTTGTACACACCAATAGGAAAGTGTCCAAACTTTTGACTGGTATACTGTACTATAATACAGATAAATAATATTGTTCCTGTATTATAATATACACATAAATAATATCGGCCGATATATCGGTATCGGGCTTTTTTTACTCCCTAATATCGGTATCGGCATCGGCCCCCAAAAATCCATATCGGTCGGGCTCTAATTAATACCAGAAGTAAACAGGGCCTTAAAGGTGGTGACGTTGAAGTCATGTGACCGTAATGACCTTATTTTCTACAATAATCCAAAAGCCAATGGAAAAATCCTATTGGGTTTTTGTCGAGGGAACCAGGGTGATGCTATTCAGAGTTGGTCTACAAAAATACATCACCCCTGCAGTACTTTATACCCACAAGGCCCTTGCTAGAGGAAAACCATTTAGTGGAAGAAAAAAAAACTTGGCCTGCATTTTGTTTACTGCAACAAATGCAGGTTATTGTGAAAGGAAGTATGTCTGATGGCTGTCTGCTCTCAGAGGTTTTCACACAGACACTGTAGGGTTTTGGTAATGGGTAATAATCAGAGTGGGCTTTAGTGGGGAGTGAGATCCCCACCGGAGCGCTTATTAATAATGGATGAGTTTAGCCACAGGCCAGGCTGGGATTCAAAACACACTTCAGTGACTCATCTCATCATTCAGAATAACAGGCGTGAAATCAACACATGTGATCAGGGATCAGATCCACCGGTCTAGATCCACATGTAATCGCTATGAGGGTCACACATCATGTCTGAAATGTACAATGACAGCTCACTGTGGGTGAAAACGTCACAAGCTGCAAGTACATGTGAAGAGTTTGGTTCCAAAACGCAATAAATCCATTTAGATTAATTTGAGTAAAAATGTGTTTTCTTTACCAAGAAAGTGGAAAGATGAAAACCACTATTTTCTGTTTCAAACTTTCACATAGCTTTTGTAGGTCATAATAACAAAAAACAAAAAAAATCCAGGTTTTGATTTTCAAAGAATTATTATTTTTTCCCCAAAATGCAATAAATCCATTTTTTTTTATTCAAAATGCAATTAATCCATTGAATCAATATAAGTTTTTTTTTTCATATTGAAACTGTTGAAAATACACAACAACGTAAGTTTATTAGTATAAAATTTTTATTAAGAACTGTAAAGAAGATTGAAAACATTTTTCCTCCTCCCGAGTGCCTCATCTTCTTAATCTCCTCACGTAAATGATTCGATTTCGATGCCTTATCTTACCCACCGCAGAAACAACCACAGGTTCATCAATGCCGTCAAAATTAATCATTTTTTTGTTTGTTTGTTGATCGAAAAGTACAAAATAGATAAGAAAAACTAGGAAGCCGGGTGTATTTAAGGCGCTGCCGTTACTGTTTACATTGCGTGGAATGGTGCGTTGTGATTGGTTGAGAGCGGATATATCGCATTCTGCAGAGAAGGGAGACTGGCGTTTGTCGCGGTTTGGAAAGAAAGGGAGAAAACATGACAGAATAACACGGCGGATATCGCATTTTACTTAAAATTAAACATTGACTTTTCAATACCAACCAGATACAATACTGATTTTTGCAGTAATTATTATTATTTTTTTTAAATGGCGTTTATCGCGTTTTGGAACCAAACTCTTCATGTATTAAACTAAATAAAATATTTTGTAAAATACTATAAATAAAACCAGGTATTAATACACAAAATGTTTAGACATTTTCAAAAGGAGCTAAGAAATGGTAGAAACGGAGAATACGATGACTAACCTGAGAGTGGACAGTGCTGTGATCCGCATGTGACTCTCCACAGCCAACATATGAACAGCCGTTCTGAACGAGTGATAAACATCAAAAGAAATAGTAAAGAATTTTTATATCAGCATTTATTGGTGAGGTTTATAAGGTACAACATCAAAATGCGGTGTTTTAATATCGGCGCATCCGTATTAAACAAAATAACTTACCTCTAGACAGGCCCAAAGGTTCGGTCCTCCGACTTTACAGTCCTGACACTGACCCTGTAAACAAACACATTTATTCTTTATTCAGTAAGAATGCAATAAATTGATCAAAAGTGACAGTAAAGACATTTATAATGTTACACTTTAGATTAGGGTCCAGTTCTCACTATTAACCGACTTTTAACTACGGCTTTTGGCTCAATAAACTCATAATTACAGCTTATTTGTTTTGCTATTGGGTAGGGGTGTAACGATACACAAACCTTACGGTTCGGTTCGTCCCACGGTTTTGAGGTCTCGGTTCGGTTCGGTTCATTTCGGTGGGGTGGGGGGGTTTAGAAAGCTAAAATTGCTTTTATTTTTTTATTAAACAGTGCTTTAATGAACAAATTGTGTCCTTGTCTTTAAATTAATTCAATTACAAGTAAACGTTTCTCAAGGATAACAAAATTATCTGCTAATGCTGTAAACTACAGCCCTTACGTTAGCCCAGTTACATTACTATAACATTAAAGCTTAACAACAGCGACTTTTAGCCTAAATGATATAATAATAATCAACACTCAAATAACAAATTGTATGAAAACATGTAAACTGCACATAAGGCAATTTTTGCATTAACATGTTTTTACTCTAATTTGTTATTGTTAAATAATAATTTACACAGTTGCTGTTATTTTCATGACAACTATTTTAAACATACATTAAATAATCAAGATATCATAAACAGGTTAAGTAAAATATAATATATAGGCTAATATATAGCATTTATTTAGTGAAAGAGTTAGCAAACCAGCAAGCTGTGGACACTGAATGACTTGCCTGAGGTAAGTTAAATATAAAGCTATGTGAAAAACTAAGCGTTTTATTGACGTATTTCCGCTGTTGAAACACTGATTGAGTGTTTACACGAGTTATGATGCCTTTCAGTAAGTATACTGTATCTTTCAACATACCTTCGAGTGTCCATTCATGTTTATTCTGTAACTGAGGAAGAGATGATCGCGCTCCGCGCTGCCGCATGCATACAGTGATATCTGTCACGCCACATCTAAGAGCGCCAAAACGGCATCTATTGTTTGCATTTCGTGATCAAATAGACATAATTTGAAAGATTACACCTTGCTTATTATCAAAAGTAACAAAACACTGAGCTTATTGCAATTATATGTGGTCAATGGTGGTTAGGCAACAGCCCTGTATTCGTTGTGTACACATAACACATGAGGTGCAATGAGCCGGTGCTGGGCGGGGCAGCAGGGGGGCGTGTTCGGTTCGCCATGAGAGTTTCGCGATACGTATCGTGGGTGGTGTATCGCGGTTTTTCGGTTCGGTTCAAATATCGTTACACCCCTACTATTGGGTGACATTAAAGAGATAGTTCACCCTCAAGTTGTTCCAAACCTGTATGAGTTTCTGTCTTCTGTTGAACACAAAAGAAGATATTTTAAAGAACGTCGGTAAGCATTGACTACCACATAGTATTTTTTTTTTCCCTACTATGGAAGTAAATGGGGTCCATTAAATCGCTAGTTACCATCATTCTTTAAAATATCTTCTTTTGTGTTCAACAGATGAAAGAAACTCATACAGGTTTGGAACAAAATGAGGGTGAGTAATGATTAAGGGTGTCACGATTTCGATATTAAATCGAAATCGATCGAAATTAATTCAATGGTATCGAAATCGAAATAAAAAATGGTATCGTCGATACTGCCACGCCCCATGTCGCGTCCGTGATGGAAAGTTCGGATCGTTTTACAGACTCTATTGTTCAATCTCGTTCATCAAAATTAACTAAACTTTTTTTCTAGTCATTTCAGGGGCTTTAAATGTTATACTATTAACATGCAAATTCCCCGAACATTAAGAAGATGTACATAATGATGAATGCAGTGAAAAATAATTTACACTACAGGGAACAAATAATTACTTTACCTTCCGAGTCTTTTGTTCATTTGTCGCGTGACAGAGGCAATGAACAGATCGTTTATGATGAATGACTCATTCATGATGAACGACTCATCACGGTGCGGAAAACAAAACACCTGTTGAAAGGCTGCGAGTCCTCTAACTGACACATCATGGCAACTGCAGATATCGAAGACCCATCAACGGAACTTGAACACCCTCCTGCTTCTCTGAAGTCGCCGGTGTGGAGGTATTTTGGATTTGCAGTGCGGTATGTTGACAACGTTCGCGTTGTCGACAAAAAAGCCACAGTTTGCAAGCTCTGCTATGTGCGTGTACCATATATAAATACGGAGAAAGACATTCAAAGCTTCATTCTAAAACCCCAATAGAAGCCTTAATAAAGTTATTGTTACATTTATGATGTTACTTGTTTTTGTTATATTTTAAATTTGGCAATGGTGTAGTGTACATTGTGAACAAATTTATATTGCATAATGCATACACGTGTAGTCTAAAAATTGCATAGCAATCTGCGCTTTAAATTTTTTTTTTTTAAATCGAGAATCGAATCGAATCGTGACCTTAGAATCGAAAACTTAATCGAATCGAGGATTTGGAGAATCGTGACACCCCTAGTAATGATGACAGAATTAAAATTTTTGGGTGAACTATCTCTTCAAGGGATGTAGAATAAGATCATGCAGAATAGGGAATTAATATGTGCTAAGTACAGATAAACAGCCAATATCCTAGTAATATGCATGCTAATAAGCAACTAGTTAATAGTGAGAATTGGACCATAAACTAAAGTGTGACCAAGATTTATATTTCAAATAAATACTGTGCTTATGAACTTTCTATTCAACGAGGAATTCTGACAAACATCTATAACCATTTCCACAAAATATTAAGCACAACAACAACATATGTTTTTACTTGAGCACCAAATCAGCATATTAGAATAGTTTCAGAAGGGTCATGTGACACTGAAGACTGGAGTAATGATGCAAAAAAAATCAGCCAAAACTGGAATAAACTACATTTTAAAATAGAAAACAGTAATTTAAAATGATAAGACTATTTCACAATATTACTGTTTTTATTGTATTTTGATCAAATGCATCCAGCCTTGGTGAGGACAAGAGACTTCTTTCAAAAACACAAAAAATTCGTACTGACCCCAAACTTTTGAATGTCAGTACGCACTGTAGCTCACAGCTCTGCAACATTAACGTATGGAAAAACTACTGAAAACATCTTCTATTAAAAGGTACAATCTGCTTTCGCCAGCAAGCAATTAGTGGTGCAGCAACCTCAGATGCTTTAGACTATAATGGAGAACTGCACATTGATTCTAACCCTAAGCTCTTATTTGTTAGGAAGCCACACATTATAACTCCAAAAAAGGGGTCATTGCCTTCTCAATAATGCACAATACATTTGAGGAACAAGAAATGAGCGGAAGCAATGATACGATAAAGGTTGCGACTGGGTCTTGGTTTGACTCACGTGAGACTTCTGAATGAGTTCTTCCTTGGTGATCTCCCCCACACACTCCAAGTGAGGGCAGTCATTGCTCGACGCTCCAGACATCACTCTTTTGGAAAAAGAGAGAAAGATGAACACATCAGTAAACTGTTATTTCAATATCAGCTGGGATTTGATTATTAAAAATACATTAGAAATAGTAAGAAACACAGTGAATTTGTAGTGCAAACAATAAGGCATCCTGGTTTGTCTCAATGAAATCAGAGAGCATCCCCTCGAAACCTGAACACATGAGGTCAAAGGAGACGCATGTTACAACCCGGTGAAAACAGCAACCAAGAAATGGCCCAGCAACCATAGAAAAATCAAAACAAATGGGCATAGAAAAATGGTCCAAGCCAAAATGGGAAAAATATTAAGTGGTCTTTTAATGGTCTTCTTAATTTTAATCACAAATCACTGGTCAGGAAATACTGTTTAAAGGGTTAGTTCGCCCATTTAAGACATGAAGTTGTATGCAATCCTTACCAGCACTATAGTGCATACACACTGACCCACTCTGTTGTCACCTCCCTGGTCAGAGTTCTGGCCGCTGGAAGTTTTTCAATGAAGTACTCCCGGTTAGTGCCGCTGCTGTCAACGTCAACAGTGCGCACGTTCCGATCAGCTGTTCCATAGTGTTTACACAATCGATTGACAACGACGTAAAAAGTATTAAATTAACAATGGTGCGAACTTGTAAATTCCCAGGCTGTGGCTGTGACCACAACGATGTGCCGGGATCAAAGTTCAGATTCCATCGTTTTCCTGTTTCGAATATAACTGAGACAGCTTACCGAGCATAATCTCCATCTGTTGTTAGTCGACCTCACCAGCAGGGGGTGCAAGCGCGTGTTGTTGATTTGGCTGGTTGCCATCGGCTACTCTGCGGGAGCTAAAATATCCAGAATAAAGGATTTTCGTGTGTGTAGTGCTCACTTCAGCGAAGACGATTACATCCCCAACCAAGGAGGAAAAGGAAAATTAAAGAGTTTTGCTGTACCAGTACCACGGGTAAGCTCTATTTACTAACTTTATGATCCCATGTCTAAACTGTACGGTAAACAAGCTAATGTTTAGACTATATTATAAAACACGTGAAAAGATGTTTAATATAAAAACAGCTATAGGGATATTGGTACAATTTGCTGAGAAAACTATTTGATTGAACACACACACAATTGAGGTTCCCTTTCGAACGGTCACTTCGTATTGCGTAGCTATACGCAGTGGGGAAACTCCTTTTCCTCGATTTACTGAAACCTATATGTAAAACGCATTTGCAGCTGCACAGCTAGCACACTGAGCGTCTGGCACGCTCATAGGCTGTGCTGCCGCAACTGCACAACCAATGGCGCGGGCGACTCTGACATGCAGCCAATGAGCTAGCTCAACGTCAGAGCCCGTCAAGGGGGTGTGGCTTAGCCTATAAAAGACCCCCGAATTCACCATTATAGCAGATTTTACTCCTTCAGCGACAGTACACATGTCCCTGAGCTTTTTACTGTGAATTCGCCGTCGAACAAGCCTTTCAGCCTGAGCGAGCTTCTCTTCAGCAGACTTCGCCTGCACGCCGTCGTCTCCTGACGCCGTCTCACCTGTGGCTATCCGGCGACATCCTATATCCTTTCTATTATTGTGTTTGTTTCAGAATGCCTCGTTCATCCTGCGCCACGTGCGGAGGCCGTCTGCACGAGGCAGACCAACACGAGAGCTGCATTTCCTGCTTGGGTGTCGACCACGCGGAGAATGCACTCTCTGTCGGCGGATGTGCGGCCTGCGACTGCATGCCTATCTCCGTGCTGCGCAATCGTCTAGCTCTCTCTCGAGACGGCGAGGCCGCTTCAACCACGCTTTCCATTCCGAGGAAGAAGAAGCGTCGCAGCCAACGGCAACCGGAGGGTTTGGAGATTTGTGAACGCACGCCGGCCGCGTCCCCGCGTGCTTCACTTTCTCCGACTCAAACGCCATCACCGGTCCTGTTCACAGGAGACCAACGCCCCCCCCCCCACACGTGGCAGGCCTCGTCTCCTTCGGCGGATCTCTCGAGCGCGACGACAGCATATCCATCGCCGCTTCTGAGGACGAATGGCCGGGCTCTCTCGACCCCGTCTCCGCTTCTCAATCTGTGGCCAGTGGATTAGCGACCAGGACGAACTCCGACGCCGAAATGCTTCGGATCCTGACGAAGGCCGTCGCGGACCTCGAGCTAGAGTGGGCCTCGCCCGAGGAGCCGCCTCGTAGTCGGCTGGATGGATGGTTTCTGGAGGGGCGCCAGCAGGCCCCGCGTCACAAACCGGCGCCATTTTTCCCCGAGGTCCACGAGGAGCTAACCAAGGCCTGGCGCGCTCCATACTCAGCACGTGTGGGATCTGCAGTTTCCGCGACGCTCTCCTCCGTGGATGGCGCAGCGGAAAAGAGTTATGAGTCTTTGCCGCCCCTCGAAGAGGCCGTGGCAGCTCATCTTTGCCCGAGCACTGCAGCTAGCTGGCGAGCTAGAGCCGCTCATCCCAACAAACCCTGCCGAAACACCTCAGCCCTCGCTGGACGCGCGTACTCCGCCTCCGGTCAGGCTGCATCGGGCCTGCACACGATGGCCGTGTTGCAGGTCTACCAGGCCAAACTCCTCCGGTCCATGGACGAGACTGGCCCGGACCCGGAGACCTTTCGAGACCTGAGGAGTGCTACAGACTTAGCGCTGCGTGCTACTAAGGCTACAGCACAGGCCATCGGAAGAAACATGGCGAGCTTGGTCGTGCTCGAGCGCCATCTTTGGCTTAACCTCACCGAGATTAAGGACGCCGACAGAACGAGGTTTCTCGACGCCCCGGTGTCCAGCTCCGGTCTCTTCGGCCCGGCGGTGAAAGGATTCTCGGAGAGGTACACAGAGGCACAGAAAGCGTCCCAGGCCATGCGACACTTCTTGCCGAAACGTTCGAGCTCCGCGACCAGCAAGCCCAAGCCGCCGCCTTCGCCTCATCCAGCCAAGCCGGTGAAACAGGCCTCTCAGCCCCGCCCTGCGGCTGATAGCCAACGCCAGCCAAGGCCCGCGAAGCGCTACCCGCTCCCCAGGCGTCAAGGCCCTCGACCCAGCGCCGCGGCCGACCAGGTGCCTCCGAAGTCGTCCTAGCACGGAGAGGAAAGAGAGAGGGCTCGTGTCTCGCGCTAGCCGGACCACCCTCGAAAAAACCGGCAAAACTTCCCACAGCTCCCTGTTCAGTTCAGGCGGCTGGGGATTTTATTATTGTAAACAGGCCCGCAGCAGTGAGCGCGTCTTTGCAAACAAACGCCGTTTTCACGGCGACCCAACTAAAGCACAAAAAGAGTATGTTTCACAATCACAACACACGGGTTCACGGTCCCCCTTCACTAGGCGGCCCCCGCCCTGTTGTAAGACTGAAATCCCCCCGGGCAAAAGCCTGTATAATCAGTCAAACACTCAGTATGTGCACAAATCACAGTGTAAGGGTATCAGGTCCCCTTATGTTAGGCGGTCCCCCCCATTCAGTGTGTCAAGCCCTAGCCACACGGGCGATGGCCTGGCAAGCCATCCCTGGTGTGTCGAGTTGGGTCATAAACACTATAAAGCGAGGCTACTCGCTCCAATTCGCTCGCAGACCCCCGAAATTCCAGGCGGTTATCGAGACATCGGTGAGAAGCGGCGTGGGTCACGCGCTTCGCACCGAAGTTCAGAATTTATTAGCAAAAGGAGCGATAGAGTCAGTCCCTCCCGCGCTAATGTATTCGGGGTTTTACAGCCGTTATTTTCTAATTCCAAAGAAAGACGGCGGGCTCAGACCCATACTAGATCTGAGACGTTTGAACAGGGCTCTCATGAGACGGCCTTTCAGAATGTTAACACTCAAACAAATTCTCGCGCAAGTTCGCCCGGGGGATTGGTTTGTTTCAATGGATCTGAAAGATGCATACTTTCATATTCAGATCGACCCTCGTCACAGGCCATTCTTGAGATTCGCCTTCGAGGGGAGGGCATATCAATACACCGTTCTGCCGTTCGGTCTGTGTTTGGCACCCCGTACATTCACGAAATGTATGGATGCAGCGCTCTCCCCACTAAAAAGCCAGGGAGTGCGTGTGCTGAATTATCTCGACGACTGGCTGGTGCTAGCGCAGTCGAGAGACGAACTAATAGTTCACAGGGATTTGATTCTCGGCCATTTAAAATGCCTGGGTCTCACAATCAATGTTGCCAAAAGCGAACTGAACCCCAGTCAGACTGTGGTCTTTCTGGGCACGGTTTTAGACTCGGTGACAATGAAAGCGCGGCTCACTCAAGAGCGCGCGCTCTCTGTGCAGACACTGGCAGCCGCATTCAGGGCGCGCGCCTCTGAAGAGGTTTCAGAAACTGCTTGGTCTAATGGCAGCCGCATCATCAGTACTCCACATGGGATTACTGCGCATGCGCCCGCTGCAGCACTGGCTGAAACGCCGTGTGCCAACCCATGCATGGCAGTCAGGCAGCCTGCGCATTATGGTGAATCACGGGTGTTTAAGAACACTGATTCCCTGGCGGGCTCAGGACTGGTACCGCAAGGGGGTGACCATGGGGATAGTTTCCAGGAGGAAGGTGGTTTTTACAGACGCATCCAACCTGGGTTGGGGAGCGCTGCACGAGGGCAAGCCTGCATCCGGCCTCTGGTCGAGCACGGAGCAGAGCTTACATATCAACTGTCTGGAAATGAAAGCAGTTGGTTTGGCCCTGAAAGCATTTCTGTTAAACCTCAGGGGTCACCATGTCCTGGTCCGTACGGACAACATGTCAGTGGTGGCCTACATAAATCGCCAGGGTGGCATCAGGTCGGGCAACCTGCATGCTATGGCGAGGGACCTCCTCCTATGGGCACAGGCCAACCTGAGCTCCCTGAGAGCAGCACACATCCCGGGCGTCCAAAATCTGGGCGCGGATATGCTCTCACGGGGCAACACTCCCCTAAGCGAGTGGTCTCTGAACCCTCAGACGGTCAGTCTGATATGGGAGAGATTCGGCGAGGCCGAAATCGACCTTTTCGCCTCGAGAGCCAACACCCACTGCAGGGTGTTTTTCTCGAA